GCCCATAGTCTGCCTTCAGGGTGCCTCTGTGTCTGGGGACCTCATGATGACCCTGCAGGATGAAAGTCCACGTCGGAATTAATAGGACAGTTTGCCGCCTACTCTCAAGCCACGTGTGGGTGGAGGAGCGCCGCCCACGGGGGGGGGGGAGGGCGGGGCTGGCGCTGCGCAGTGTCTCCCTTGCAGCGGGCAGAGAGCTACTCTCCAGCCTTCCAACTTTGGACAGTCCCCTGGCTCTGGCTCCTGGAGGGTCCCCGTCCATTGGGCAGAGGTGGGGAGCCTGGGGGACTCTATCTTCCAGGGGCTCCTCCTATGTCTCCAGTCATCCCAGGGAGGACGATGAAGGACTTACCTGTGTAATAAACACTTGTGTTTATTACACAGGTAAGTCCTTCTCAAATCTAACCTAATTTCATAGTAGAAAACTTAAAAACTTCAAAAAAACTGAAACAGGCTAAAATCCCCCGTAGTCACATCCCTTAGAGGTGAGTGTCGTTAACATCTGGAAAGGACCCTGGAGATCTTTCTGTGTTTCCATATTTCTCTCCCAGGATCTGGATGATGCTTAGATCATTTGTCACCGTTCTTCTGCACTTCAGGGCTGGGGCCACTCTCCCATAGCGTCACCTGCCGGCACCACCGTCTCCAGTGGCTGCTGATGTTTCCTTGTCCTTATTCAGGGCTTTCCTTCATGAATTCTCCCGCACATTTCTGGATCTTGCGTTCATGTTGCCAAATCGCCCTCCCGGGCTCGGTGCCCGTCTCCGTCCCCCTCAACCAGACGCAAGGGCCCGCGATTCTGTCTCCCCGGAGTCACCAGGTGGAGAGCCGCAGGCTCAGACCTCTCTCCTGCTGCTGGGGTCCTGCATCTGGACCCGAGGCCATGGAAATCAAGTGCCCTCTCCCCCTCCCCAACTCTGAATGTCAGTGGCCCGGCTGGGGCAGGGTCCCCAGGCCACCTGGACGGGTCACCCGCAGCCCCACCCTCGTGCCTCCCACGGCCCGGCAGGCTGTCTCTCCTGCAGGCCCCGTGGTGGGACATCAGCTCTGAGTTATGGTGACGCTCATTCCCCCGTACAGCTCCCACGGAGTTGACAGATGTCCCACGTCTGAGGCAGTCATGCGGCAAGAGGCTTTGGGGCTGATCCTTCCCGTTTCGACAGTGGGTAATGGAGGCGAAGCCATAAATTTTATAAACAAGAATAAACGACCCTTAGCAACATATGTCTGCCCTACCCTTCCAAGGTGATCGCAAATACAGGCACCTGCCAGCCGGGGAGGGACGTGGGCAGTGCAGATGGCCAGCGATGGCGGCCCACGACCGGGCCTTGGGAGCAGCCGCTGGGAGCTGTTTGGTGGGGCTTGTCGGGGACAGGTCACCTTGTGCCCCAGCGTCCTGAACCAGCCGGATGTCTTTGTGCTGTTTATTCAGGCAGCTCCCAGGGTGCCCTCACCCCCTTGCCACCAGGAACTGGCACTTGCTTCTCATCTCTCCACCAGGCCCTCCTGGCACTGGGGGTCTCTCCTGGTCCCCAAGTTTGGCCTCTTTCTTGCTGTGTGGCAACAGCCAAAGTGCCATGTCTCTGTGCCTCAGATTCTGAATTTGGGACACAAAGATGCTGATGTCCACTTGAGGGGGCTGTCGTGGGGAGGAYGTGCTGGGGGGTGGCTGTCAGGGTTGGCTGTGGTCGGGGGGTTAAAAGCTCTGTGTGTCAGAAGAGCTCCAAAACTGCCACTGGTCTACGATGACATCGTCACAACCATCGTCATCACCCAGTGGATATGTGGCTTTGGGAAAGCCTCAGTTTCCCTGCCCCTCAAAGGAAGGATGATTGTACATGGCCGTGCAGAGTCTGAGGAGTAAGACACATAACCCTGCTCTGCCAGGGGTGGCCCTGTGACCCTGTGGTCCCAATTGCTCTGGAGGCTGAGGCTGGAGGATCAATGGAGCCCAAGGGTTGATGGCCAGCCTGGGCAGCATAGCAAGGCCACAACTTAAAAAATGAAGAAGGAGAGGAAGGGGAGAGGAAGAAAAGGGAGGGGAGGGAGAGGAGGAGGAGGAGGAGGAGGGGGAGGAGGAGGGGGAGGAGGAGGGGGAGGGGGAGGGGGAGGAGGGAGAGGAGGGGGGTCTGGAANAGAGGAGGAGGAGGGAGAGGAGGGGGGTCTGGAACGAGCTGCAGTTGGTGAATGAACGTCGGGTCTGAAAGTACCGGGCACTGACTCAAAGGCTGGCTGTCCTCGAGGAAATCCAACCAACCATGGTGTGTGACGTCCTCGATCAGATACTTGGACATAATCAGGGCTCAATCTGAGGTTATTACTGATATTTACCTATCAAGTTCCTCTCTTCAGGCCTCAGTTTCTCCGTCCATTAAATGGGGGCAGCGTTGCTCAGAAAAGTGTAAGACACAACTCAACACCAATAGCTTTCTAATTTTTTTGAGCTGCTACCTTATGCCAGACCCATGGACTTATTTCCTGAACCTTTGGAGGTGGACATTTTTAAAAAAAWTTTTTTAGTTGTCAATGGGCCTTTATTTTATTTATTTATTGGTGGTGCTGAGAATCAAACCCAGGGCCAGGCAACATGCTAGGCAAGCACTCTGCCACTGAGCCCCAAACCCAGCCCTGGAAGTTGACATCATCATTCCCGAGTGTAGAAGATGGAGAGTGCGGCTCAGGGTGGCCAACGAGTTGCTCCAGGTGACCCATGCAAGGGGCCAAGTGGACTCTGGGTTTGAAGAATAATAGTAAGAGCACTGTGACCATCAGTGCTGATGTTTGCCAGGGAGCTGCTAAGCCCTGGTAAATACTACCTCATTAAATTCTCGCAGTGATCCCTGGGTGACGGTGGATGCCATCATTCTTGTTCTACAGGTGGAGAGACAAGTGAGGAAGACGGAGTGCCTGGCCCAGAATCATGGAACTAGGACGAGGCCAAGCGGGTCGCTCGCTGCCCCCACAGTTCTGCAAGCGTCGGAGGTCTCTCCCTGCCGGGCCCAAGTGCTCCTCTGCTCACCCTTCAGGGCTGGGCTCCGTCAGCCCCTCCAGGAGGCTGCTGGAGAAGGTGGCCCATGAATCTCCACCAAGTTCCTGGAGAGGGTGTCGCGGGCTGTTTCACTGTTTGTTTTGGAGACAGGGTCTTGCTGTGTTGTCCAGTTTGGGGCCAAATCCTGGGGTCAAGAGATTCTCCAGCCTCAGCTTCCCAAGCAGCCAGGACTACAGGCAAGTGCCACCATGCTCCGATGGACTGGTGACTTTACCTGGGGACTCCAGGAATGGGTATGAGAATGTGCAAGCAGGTGTGTGCTTCTGTCTAGGGGGAGTGTGAGGGAGTCTTGTTGGAATTCAAAAGGTGACAAACAGCCAGGCCAGATGGTGCACACCTGTCATCCCAGTAGCCCAGGAGGCTGAGGCAGGAGGATTGTGAGTTCAGAGCCAGCCTCAGCAACAGTGAGGCTCTAAGCAACTCAGTGAGACCCTGTATCTAAATAAAATACAAAAGAGGGCTGGGGATGGGGCTCAGGGGTCGAGTGCCCTGAGTTCAATCCCTGGTAGTCCCCCATCCAAAAAAAAAGGTGACACATGAATGACAACTTTGGAAACTCTGATTCTGAGGAGCGGATGGAACACAAGGGACATCCCCTGCATTCCTGGTCCCCAGCCTGCCCATCCCTTGCTCTCCTTGGCCTGAAGTACCATCTTCCGCCAGGGGCTGTCAGAGAAGAAAAGCAACAGATCAAAGCACGGGCAGCCACACTCCCACCGGACGGCGAAGGGGACTTGCTTCCTTGGCTGATCAAGACAGGACAGCGAGGGCCCTCTATTGCCAGCGAGATGCTCAGGTCCCCGTCGTGGGGGAGGGAGGAGCCACAAATCCTTCCAGGCCCAGATTTATGTAGCGTTCCTGTGGAATTTATTATACAAGGAATTTTATTCAATTAAACTTGAAATGGGTCTGGATCCTTAAAGGTTCAGTAGTGATCGCTGGGACAGAGCGATCATAAAACTGGAGGGGCTGTCGGGAGATGTCGGGAGGAGGCGAGGGTGACATTGCAGTGGACGAGGGATTCGGAGCTGGGGACGTTTGTCATGGGGATGTGTTACAAGTTGGGGCTGTGGAAATCACTCAGTGAAGAGCGCACATTAACAATGGCCATGAAATATCAGTTAAGGGAAACCAGGCTGAGCGATGGGACAGCAGGATCTATTAGCACCTGGCCCTGCTCACCGCAGCCCAGGGCGTGATGAAGGGGACTGTCAAGGGGCGGCCGGTGGGAGCAAGGCGCAGGGCTGGGCGGCTCGACACCGCGTCCAAGGCTGGCTCTCGGAGCCAGTCCCCCACCTGCCAAACAGAGCCCCTAGGTTGCCTCCCTYGGGGGGCAGTGAGGCTCAGGAGACCGCAGGGGTGGGGCACTCGCTGGGGGCTCAGCACRTGGCAGACCCTCTGCCAGGTTGGCTGGCGTCCTTGTCACGGGTTCCTCTCCAGAATGATACCAGGTTCCAGGGAGCTTGGCTGGACGTGGCAGGGTGGGCGAGGCACTTTTTGGGGTGCACACTATGGGAGCACCAAGACACTTGATGATCAAGGTGAGTTTTCATGCAATTTATATATACATAAATTATATATATATATTTTTATATTATATTTATAATATAAATATATATATTTTTTCTGTATTGAGGGTTGAACCCGCAGGCGCTCTATCACTGAGCTGCAGCCCCAGCCCTGATTCTTACTTTGAGWCAGGGTCTCGCTAAGTTGCCAAGGCTGGCCTTGAACTTGCCTTTCTCCCTCTGCTTCCCGAGTTGCGGGGACTACGTGTGTGCCACCCTTGCTGCCCATCCCTTGCTCTTCCTCCTCCCCACCCTCCTGATTATTTTTGCCAGCGAGGCAGGTGCATTGGGCTCCACTGGGTCCCTCTGGCTGACGGGGTGCCCCTCTGGAGCCTTGGGCAGAGAGTGAGGTCCAGATTTCAAAATATACGGAAACCCCCGATACCTCTGGTATTGCCGTCTGACTTGACTTTGGGCTGGAGGATGAAGGCAAGCTTGACCACTGAGCCACATCCTCAGACCTTCTTTATTTAGAGACAGGGTCTCACTAAATTGCCTACGACCTCASTAAATTGCTGASGCTGGCTTTGAACTCGAGATCCTCCTGCTCGACCTCCAGAGCCGCTGGGATGACAGACGTGCACCACCATGCCCCGTGGGTACTGCCATTCTAAATAAAACAAGCTGCTGTGTCACAACCCCCTGCTACCCTGTGAAGTGGCGGCAAGCCAAGGTTGCCGATTGTGCGCTAACACGTTGGGAAACCCGGGCTAGATGTCTCGACTATGAACGTTTACTAACTTTTCCCACTTGATTTGAAATCTGGGAGGCTATTTTGATGAGTGTACTCAGTGGGATACATTTTTCCTTCTGCAGGGGCTCCTCCGTGGCTTTGGAAGGCCCGCCCGCTTTCAAACAGCCCACTCTCTGGGTCACCCAAGCCAGCCTGCTGCTCCCCCTGGGCTGGGGACACAGACTGAACTGCCTGCGTGTCCCTGGCTGGTCTCCCAGGGAAAGGTCTGCTGATGGAAGGGAAGATGGGGCCAGAGGCGGGGCCTGGGAACCTGAGGTAAGACCCCCCTGTGGGTGTCTGGCGAAATCCCTCGTTTCCATGTCATTATTCCAGAGCGTCCTAGGCCCTGGGAACTCCTTGGTCCTTCACCCTGGCCAGCAGCGTGGGTTGTTGCTTCATCAAGTACAGCGTGCCCCTTCCTGGTGGATCTGGCGCTGTGGGCAGCGCTGTGATGGCCGCAGGCTCTCGGAGCCCTGCTCCCCGTCTGGGCGTGCAGGTGGCACAGCAGTTGGGGGCGCTTCCAGCTTCCAGTCTTGTTGGCACAGCCGGCACCCACCTCTGCACAGCCCATTCTAACCAGGGGGTGGGGTGGCACTGGACGTGGCCGCCTCCTGGAGAGAGTGTTTCTCGCTCCTGGGCACCTGGACCTCACTCTCTGCCCAAGGCTCCAGAGGGGCACCCCGTCAGCCAGAGGGACCCAGCAGCGCCCAATGCACCTGCCTCACTGGCAAAGTGAGCAGAGGGTGGGGGAGGTGGACGTGTGCCTGCAGCTGGCAGCCATGTTGCCCACTTGCTGGAGTGACCAGCCGCCCGGGCCTCAGCAGGAGCTTGAGGAAGGACCGGTTGCGGGACCAGCTCACCAGGCACCTCGGCCTGGCCACTCCTGCCCTTCTGGAAGTCACTTCCTGCGATAAGCAGCGTGACATCCTCAGGTTCTCACGGCTGCCTCTCCCCTTCATAAATATCCCTCTTCCTGAGGACACAGCTGGCACTGGCGATGTCATCTCATAGCAGGAGGGGAGCGGTGACACACGCGATGACACCCGGCCTGGAACGGATCTCAGAGCGCAGAGCAGGCCTCAAAGTCTCCCTGGCCTTGGGCTGGCCCGGCCTGAAGGTCTTGTGTCCTTAAGCTGAACGGTGCCACCTCGCCCTTGGCACTCGGCCCCTGGCAGGAAGGGGCGTCTCTGTGATGCGGCATCGCTCCCCCAGGGCCTCCTCCCCACTATGGAGGGTCTCTGAGCTGCACCCCACACTCAGTTCACGGAGGGTGGCGTTTCTGAAGCCACCTGTCAATTTGCAGCTGTCCTTCCCCCACACGGTGGCAGTGATGGGTGGCTCAGAGGTGAACTAAACTTCCAAATCCAGCCTGCTGTCCCCTTTATAAATGTGACATTTAAAGCCCCGTTGGCGCAGGTAAATCATGATTACACTTCCAAGGGCCCCTGGTGCCACTGCAGATCCTTGACAACCGCAGCTGGAGCGGGAGGCTGGCCCGGCARCGCTCGCTGTCCCCGCTCCCTGTCCCCCTCACACCCGCACACACGTGGCTCAAGCCTCCCCACTTTTATTCTTTTTCCCACGTGGCCCCTCCTCTTTGCGGCTGTCCTTGACCTTTCTGAGACCCAGGACGCCCTGGGGATGCAGGGGCAGAAATCTCAGGGGCTGTGGTCCTTCGAGGGAGGTGGCAGGGGCTGYGAGGCAAAGACCTCATGACGAGCTCCTCAGGAACCAGGACACTGGAGAGCAAGCTGCCCGTCACCACAGGGACCCACAACCCCCGAGGTGGCATTTCAAGGAGCCTGGGTCTCCGTCCGATGGGCCGTCCTCCTGTATATCTTCTCCTGGTTCCCCTCCTTCATGGCTGCGTATCTGGCCACCGTGAAGAGGTAGTCGCTGAGTCTGCGGGGACAGAGGAGCAGAGAGGAAGAGAAACGGGGTCAGTGCCGATGGGCCTTCCTCTGCRGCCTACCAGGAGGAGCCACGAAGCCCCGGGAGCACTGTGTGTGGGGACGGCATGTGCCCAGCCCTCTTGGGTCAGACGGGTGGCACTGAGGTCAGCTTCTGTGACAGCCAGGGGCCCAACTTTGGTACCAGGGTGGGGCAGTTCCTGCCAGTCCTGCTGTTGACCTGCCCTGACCCCACGGGCGGGAACTCTGAACCACCCTTTGGGTTGGTTCGTGCACTTTGAGGAACCAGGACTGCTACTTCCCAAACTGGAGGGTGCACGGATCACCCGGGGACCGTGTGACATGCAGATCCCCATTYTGGAGGGGGATTCTGCAGGTGGAGTCCTGGTCAGCAACACCACACTTTGAGAAGGGAGGGTTCTTGACCTTGGTAGTAGGACATTCTGGATCATTCCTTAAGGTCAGGTGGTCCTAGGCATCGTAGGGCATCAGCAGCCTCAGTCTCTACCCATTAGATGCTAGTAGCACCCCAACACCCAGCTGTGACAACTGAAGGTGTCTCCAGAACCATGATGTCCTGGGAAGCACTGGCCTGGAGTGTTCTAGTGACCAGGGCACAGTCACTCTCTCTCCTTCCTTTGCCCGAGCAGTGGTGGCCTCGGGGCAGGGGGCCTTTTGCAGGGAAACTGGTGGAGAGCATGCAGGACGGGTCGCCATGCCTGCCGTGAGGTGCTTCCTCGGGTCCATCTAGGCTGTCCCCGTCAGCCGCTGCCACACCAAGCCCTCCCCCTCCCTGAGGTCAGCGCCACAGAACCTCCCTGACCATGCCCAGCCCCTGGGCCCGCCCCCCACTCCTGGTGGCCCACTGCTGGCTCTCTGGGGACAGTAGGGGAGACTGCTCTGGGTACTGCCCCCTCCTATAACTCCTGGAGGCAGTGACGTGCTGTTTCTTGTTGGCTCCGCAGCATCTGCCCGGGGAGGAGCTGCCTGGCCACATGCCACTGCAGACCTTAGGGGCTCGGGGGGTGGGGGGTCTGCAAAGGTGGAATGGAGCTGCTGGTCGGGGGTCTGCGCCTCCCAGGAGGAAGGAGCTGGTCAGGAGCCACCCGAGCCCAGGCCACGACCCAGTGAGAGGGGAGTCCAGTGTCAGGAGCCACGCCTGCTATGCCGTCACTCACAGCACGGCTGGGACAGCTTCTGGGGTGCTGCCCTGGGCTCTGGCCTCGCCCATGCTCATGCCACTCAGCGAATCCAGTGGAGCAGGCTTCAGGCTGCTGAGGCAGAGGGAGTCCTCCCTGGGTCACTGGGTCCTGCACCAGGGCTCCCGAGCTTGGCCGGGCCTGCCTCTCTGCTGCCCTGGAGTGTCTCTGGGAAGGGAGACTGGCTGGTCTCCCTGGGGGTCACTGTCAGATGCCTCGTGAGGACTCCCCTGACCACCTGGCCTCCAGGAGCCGCTTGCTTCCAGCCTGTCCCTCTGTGCTTATTGGTTTCCGCTATTTTTTACAGTGGTCTCTTCCAACCAGATCTCAACGTCACCAAGGACAGGGACAATGTCTGTCTCCTCCGCAGCTGCTCCCAACACTGGCACCGTGCCTGGCATGCAGCAGACACCCACAAACATGAGCAGAGGGGTGGGCGAGTGAGCACGGCCCCTGCAGGGCTCCGCAGACCCAAACCACTGGGGTGCTGTCCCACAAACGTGCCTAGAGTCAGAGCAGAGACCCGCCCCCACCCTGCGCAAGTACCTGTTTAAGAACTTGGCCACATTGGCATCCGTCTCTCCCATCTGGACAAGAGGCACCACGCTGAGAAGAGAAAACACAGTCACGCCATGCTGCAGGACCCAGCACACCCAGGGACCTGGAGCCTCTCCCAAACAGCTCTTCCCAGATGGCCCTGGTCGACTTCAGTCTGTACAAACTTCGCCAGCACCAGAGGTGGAAACTGTCCCCGTCCCTGGTGGGCTTAATAGGTCATTCAATCCCCTTTCCTTGGACACATCAGATAGGGCCTGGCCAAGGAGGGATGGAGCACAGAGCAGAGGTTGGTGGGATAGCTGCCCCGCATCCCAGTGCACTGGTTTTGGGGTGACAGGGCCCAGGTCTGGGCCCCTAACTGGGTAGGATGGAGTAGCCACCCCAGCCTTCCAAGGGGAAAGCTAACCCTTAATCCCCAAGGGGCTGCCAGTTTAAACTACGGCTTGGAGCAACTTCATGGGAAAGAAAAGACCGAAGCCAACCAAGCTCCCGGTTCTCCACGATTCTGAGTTCCCAGGGTCCACGCCAGTCTGTGTGGACATTTCAGACAGTGGCCTGCAATCTGCTAAGCACTGAGAAGGTGCAGGGCCCTGCCAGGCCCCTCATACATATTGCTGCTGCTGCAGGACCCTTGCTGGGTGGCACTGTCCCCAGACCCAGTCTCGGGGTTCTTGCCCCCATCTAAGGTCACACAACTGGCTGATGGTCCAGGCAGGAAGTGGGTCCAGCCTGCCCCGGGGGAGCGCCTCCCACTCAGCATGGAGGTTCTTTACCAGAAGTGTCCCAGCCACTGTCCCCCCCGCCCCCGATGGTCGGCTGCTCATGGCTACAGCAGTGGCCGCCTGCCTCTGGGACCTGCCATCTGCTCAGCCCTCCCCTCGCTGGGCCTCTGGGCGGTTTCTGACTTCTTGCTGCTATGAGCTCTACTGATGTACGTGACTTTGAACAAATGACATTTTTTGCTTTTTTATTTTTGTTCAATACTTATAAGGATTGAACCCAGGGGTGTCAAATCCCCAACCCTTTATTTAACTTTTATTTTTAATTAATTTCTTCTGTGCTTGGGATTGAACTCAAGGGGACTTCAATGCTGAACTACATCCCCAGCCCTTTTAATTAATTAATTAACTAGGAGACAGGGTCCTCCTAAGTTGCCCAGGCTGGCGTGGAGCTGACCATTCTCCTGCCTCAGCCTCCCGAGTCCCTGGGATGACAGGTATGTGCCCCCCGAGTCCCTGGGATGACAGGTATGTGCCCCCCGAGTCCCTGGGATGACAGGTATGTGCCCCCCGAGTCCCTGGGATGACAGGTATGTGCCCCCCGAGTCCCTGGGATGACAGGTATGTGCCCCTGGGCCTAGCATATTTTTTGCTTTTGAAGCTAAAACTTTCTGTTCCCAGGATCCCTTTGCCTGTCTTGGACCAAGAGCCTTTCACGAAGGACAAAGCTTTTGTGGAGTGGGGTCATGGAGAGCTCAGGGTTTGGCTGGACAGACCTGGGCTCAACTACACTCTGCACTCTGCAGGGACACTGGGTGACCCTAGTCATGATGTCACCTCTCTAAGCCCATTTCCTGGCTCCTATAAAGAGGGGCTGCCATGTATCTCAGGGCTCTAATGAGGAACCCATGAGATTATGAGCAGAGCGCCTGGCCCACAGGTGCTTGTACCCGGGGGACCTGTCTTTCTGTTCTCCAGGTGGGTGGCAGCCGGGCTGAGGAGGGGTGTGATTGGGCACTTCCAAGTCCTTGAAAAGGCTGTTGGTGGCTTTCCATTCTGAGTGGGGGAAAGGCCCCGGCAGCTGGTGGCTGGGCTATGACCACTTCTACCCAGGGCCCCCGCAGCCAGGCAGCCCCCACACCCTCCTCTCTATGAGCTCAAGGAGTCCTTTACGCCACTCTTTCAAGTAGCCGGGCCCCTCCACTGGCTTCTTCTTGCTCTCAGGAGAAAGGCAGGCCCCTCTGGCCCACGGGGAGTGAGCCCTGGGTTTCTCTGCCTGTCTCCCCTCGCAGGTGGGCTCTGAGGACGGGGCTCAGGGCTGGCCTGCCCTGGCCCGCTGACAAAGTCTCCAGGAGCAGAGCTGCCTCTGGACAGGACGCCACGCCTGCCTCCCGGGGCTCACACTCTCAGCCAGGTGGGGGGGGCCCTTACCATCTCTCAGCTGCGGATCTTACCGCTTACCGTCTCTCAGCTCGGCGGCACACGGCCCGACAGAAATGCAGAGCAGAGCTACTCTTGCCTCCCGACTGAAAGGAGAAAGTGGGTGTTGTCTGGGCGATATTTGGCCTGGGGGGCTCTACTGAGCACCCCTGGAGACCCACCTCCATCGGGCACAGGGCTGGGGAGGGTTCAGAGAGGACTGGAGGGGCCTGGGGCTGCAGGACAGCTTCTGTCGCTATTAAAGGCTACTGAGGGGGACGTGGAAAGGCCCGTCTTTTCTCAGTACCCCTGGTCCGCAGTCCCCCCCCACTGGGTGGCAGCCCCCCAACACCTACTGGCAGGATGAAGGCCGTGAGCGGGGGCAGCTGGCGGGAGTACTTGTCGATCCACTGCTCCAGCTCCAGGGTGGGCCCCGCCTCGAAGGCTGTGTGTCCTGAGGGTCGCGGAGCAGGAGGAACAGCTATGACGCCTTGGCCCTCAAAGCAACACCCCGAGTCCCTTCCGCCTGCCTGGCCTCAGACTGTAGCCACCCTCAGGAACAACCTCCCTCTGGGGGCCACGGGGCTCCATGGCCGACTGTTGTGGCCCTGGGCTCCCAAGAGACCCCCGCCCTCCGGGCAGGTGGGAGAGTTACTTAAGTGGGCCTCCCTGGCCGAGGAGCGTGGGGTGGCCAGGGCGGAGCCGACCTCCTGCAGCACGCACTGGATCTGGGGAGAAGAGGAGAGGGAAGATGTACTCGTGAGGCTGGCCAGAAGTGACAGAGCCACACGCAGGGGTGCCACCTGGCCACAGAGTGTGAGACTTCAGAACCTGCACGTGACCTCGTGGTGGGCCACTAGCCCTGTGGAGGGGACCTGTGAGGCTGTTTCAGAGTCTGTGGAAGGACAAGGCCCGGTGTCCAGCGGTGAGCAGGGAGCACCCCCGTGGAGATCAAGAGGAACCTTCTGGCTCTGTCCTTGTCTCCCGTGCGCCTGTGTCCTTGTGAGAGCTGCTGCTCCTCTCTGGCTGACCGCTCTGGTTTCCTGACTGGTTGGGCCGCTGCAGCCCAATGTGTACAGGATGCTGCAGAGATGGTCAGCTAGGCCCGCGGGGCCTCTGGAGCAGGAGGCCTATCTGCTCCCTGGAGCCCATGCCTGGGCTGTTTACCCTCAGGGCACATGTAGATGGAAACCTTGGGCACACCTGGAGCTGCTGTCCCCATCTCTGTGTTTGACATTCACTCTGGGAGTCAGAGACCCCAACTCTCCTCTTCAAGGGACTGGGGATTAAACTCAGGGGTTCTCTATTACTGAGTTGGACCCCTACCCTGTCCCCCTACCAATTAATTTTGAGACAGGGTCTCACTAAGTTGCTCAGGCTGGCCTCAAATTTGTGATCCTCCTACCTTAGCCTCCAGGCTATCTGGGTCACAGTCATGTGCCACCCCACGCGACCCGCTCCTTCTTAAGGAACATTCAGAAATGCTAGTGAGCAGGCCCAGCTGGGCTCACTGCTGCAGGGTGTCCCCAAGCTGTGGCACTTCATCGCGGGTTTCTCAGCCTGAGGGTTACTGCCTTTTGGGACTGGGTCACCCTTTGTGGAGGGAACAGACGGGTGCACCGTAGGATACTGAGCTGCGCTCCTGGTCTGTCCCAACAGATGCCAGCAGCGGCCCCCCCAGATGTGGCATCACAAATGCCTCTGAGCATTGCCAAATGCCCCTGGGGCAGAGCTGCAGCCGGGGAGGCTGCTGCCCTCTGTCCTCTGTCCTGCCCGAGGAGGAGAGTCATCTCCACATGTCCCCTTTTCACAGATGGGGAAACCGAGGCATGCAGACAGGAGTGACCGGCCCCAGAGGCATGAAAGGGGAGCAGGAGCAGAGGAGGACTCAGTCATGGCCGCCGGGCTGCCCCGACCTGGGGCGAGAGGACGGCACTTACTTTCTGAAGCTCTTCGGCAAACGTGTGGCCCTTTTCTTCAATTAATTCCATAGCAAACCTGTGAGGAGACAAACAGAAAGGATGTGGCTCTAGGGCAGGGCTGCGCCAACGTCCCAGGTGGAGGCCATCCACTGGTTCAGCCACAGCCCAGGGCCGTGTCCCCTGCTGACACCAGGAGCGTCCTTGCCTCTTCTCACACTCCTTTTCCCAGTGGTTCCCTTTTGAGCACCTGCCCTGGCAGAGTCCTGGGGACTTGGTGAGGAACAGAAGGTGACACAGGCCTGTGCAGCAGTGGGGGGACTTTAGTTGGGGACCATACTACCAAATGGGAAGCTGCAGGCCGAGGTCAGTGTGGAGGGAGGTGAGGGAGGCTCAGCTGGCCTCAGCCAGGGCGCAGGAGGGCTTCCAGGGCAGCTGGAGGGGGGCTCTGGGGGCTGAGGGAGGTGGGATGGGGGGACTGCCCAGTTGCTGGTCAAGATGCTGCCCCTGGCCTCCTCTGCACCCCGCTCTCTTGTACCCCTCAGCGTCCTGGAGGGGACCGGGGTGCACTGGGAGGAGGAGAGGCGGGAAGGCAGGGGCTCAGAGGCGTGAGCGGTTCCGGGAACTGGTGATCATGCCAGAGACAGCAGGAGGGGGGCCTGAAGGGGCAGGGGACGGGGAGGGGCCCCCACCCTGCAGAGTGCTGGATTCCAGGCAGCGAGAGAGGCAGGAGCCCAGGGCCACCAGGCGCCACCCAGCTGGAGCGCAGGCTCCTGCGTGCCCTCAGACCCCTGCACCCCTCTCCAGCCTCCTGCTGCCACCTCCCACGGGCTGGACCCCAGAAATCCAGGAAACCAGGGAGCTGGTCACCAGTCAAAAGGCCCGCTGCCCAGGTACAGAAAGGAAAGAGGAGGTGGACAATGATACAAAAGGAGAACAAAAATGACCCGCGCGCCTGCCCAGCCACCGCCAATCAGCATGAAATGGGCGCAGAATTCGGCCAGCACCGCCAATGCGAGGAGATGGCTGCCAGCAGGGCTCCTCCGGTGCTGGTCCCCTGCCACGTCCCACCGCAGGCAGCGCCCCGTTGGTGTCTGTGGCCTCCTGGAGGCAGGGCTGAGGCTGTTTGCAGTGTCTGACACACGGAGGTGCCCGGTCAATATCTGACAAAGGACCCCAGACTTTGTCAGGGTTCTAGACTACCTCTTGCCCCACATCGGTTGGAAGATGCTGCTCACTGATTGGCTAATTTTTTTTTTTAACATACCAGGGATTGAACCCAGGGCACTCGACCACTGAGCCACACCCCTAGCCCTATTTTGCATTTTATTTAGAGACAGGGTCTCCCTGAGATGCTCAGGGCCTTGCTAAGTTGCTGAGGCTGGCTTTGAACTCACAGTCCTCCTGCCTCAGCCTCCTGAGCCCCTGGGATGACAGGCATGGGCCACTGCACCCAGGTCATTTGCTAATTCTGAATGGCCAATGTTAGCACCCATCCTGCCTCCACTGTGCCCACTTCACCCTGTCTCCCCAGCCCCGCAGACAGGGTTTTGCCTTCTCTGCCTTGCTGGAAGACTATCACCCCTGACGTTATCTGCCTTGAAAATCTCACCTCGTCTGCACATGGCTGAGAAATGGTAGCCGTGAACACATAAGTTATCATGATAATGATAACTGCTAAGCAGGGCACTGTCCTAGGGAGGAAACATGGAATTATCTCACTTTTTTTTTTTTTTTTTTTTTTTAAGAGAGAGTGAGAGAGGAGAGAGAGAATCTTCAACATTTATTCTTCAGTTCTCGGCGGACACAACATCCCCGTTGGTATGTGGTGCTGAGGATCGAACCCGGGCCGCACGCATGCCAGGCGAGCGCGCCACCGCTGAGCCACATCTCCAGCCCGGAATTATCTCACTTAATCGCATAAGTACACAGTGAGATGGGTACGATCACTACAACCATTTGACAGAGCAGTAATAGGCTCAGAGAGGCCAGGGGTCTGACTGAAGTCACACAGCTACCTGGCAGTGGTACTAAATTTGAACCCAGGTCTGCCTGGTTCCCGTGCCCCTATCACCACAGAGCCATGTCAGATCTGGAAACCAGCCCTTGAGCGTGGGGGGCTGTGCTCTGACTCTCAGCAGGTGCTGCCCCTCCCAGCCCACCCATGCCAGGCATATGCCCAGGAATGGCTCCGGGACGTCTAAGACTCAGTGTGAGCTTCACCAGGACTCCTCTTCCCTCTGCCCCCATGACTGGTAGGGTCTCAGGCAGATGCTGTCCTGCCCTCCTGGGTCCCCTAGTCAAGGCCACGTGGAGCAGAGACAGCCAACCCATGGCATGGGCTTGAGGTACGAGCTGGAAATATAACTTTGGTTTCTAAGCTCTGAGGTTTGGGGGACAGCGTGGCCTGGCGGATCCCCACTAATTCTTCACGTCAACCTTCTAAACACTGGCTGTTTCACAATTATCGCTCACGAACGGGATGGCACTTGGCACACCGCCCATCAGACTAACTTGTCTCTGTCTCTTCAGAGACACAGCTCAGTGGTGCAGCGCTCACCTGAGCAGTGAGGGATCCAGGCAGGGATGGAGGGAAGGGCAGCTGCACACGGTGACCAGCGAGACAAGCAGGAGCAAGCAGGGCCAGGAAGGAGGGTGTCTGCAGCCCGGCACCTGGAGGGGCGGACCAGCCTACGCGCCCAGCTCAGGCAGGCTCAAGTGCAGGCACTTCCACGGTCGTGGCCTTCACTCTCCCCCATTCAGACCCGACCTCAGGGCCAGTCCCACCTCCCTTACCCAATGGCTGAACTTAATTCATCCGTAGTTCCCACGGCTTCAAAGACCTGGTCATCTTTGGGTCTCCTTTCTCCTGTGAAGGTGCTAGAAAACCCTGTGGAAAAAACATACAGCCGCCCAAATTAAGGCCCCCCCACTTGCTGGGTTCTGTTTGTGTGTTTGTTGCAGTGGTGGGGATCAAACCCAGGGTCTGTGCACACGTGCTCTACCACTGAACCTCACCACCAGCCCGAAGGTGTTCAAAATGAAGTTCAAGAGACACAGAAAAACGCTGACCCAGGGGCTGGGGTAGTGGCTCAGGGGTAGAGCGCTTGCCTAGCTTGTGTGAGGCCCTGGGTTCGATTCTCAGCTCCGCATATAAATAAATGAATAAAATAAAGGTCCATCAATGTCTAAAAAAAATTTTTGAAAAAAGAAAGAAAAACGCTGACCCAGGTGTGGAGGCGCATGCCTGTAATCCCAGCAATCTCCTGTAATCCCAGGAGGCTGAGGTAGGAGGATAGCAGGTTCAAGGCCAAGTTCAGCAACTTAGTGAGGCCCTAAGCAACTTAGCAAGACCCTGACCCAAAATAAAAAAAATAAAATAAAAAGGGCTGGAATACAGTTCAGTGATAAAGCACCCCAGGTTCAATCCCCGGTACCTAAATAAACAAACAAATAAATAAAGAAGAAAGAAAAGAACCGAAACCAGAAGTGCACAAGTTCATGAATTGCTATTACTAAATATACCTCTGTGATCAGCATCCAGTTCAAGGACAAAACTTGACTAGTGCCCTAGAAGAGCCCTGCCACCACTTTCAGCCATCACTCCCAGGGTGACAGCAAGGCTCACTTCCTCCCTGGTATGCTTCTAAACTTTAAAAGCATGTACTAAGCAGCCTGTTAAGACGAAAACCATTTCAGACATATTACATGTCCATCATCACTGTATCTCACAGGAAATCAAAGTCCCCTGCACCTCTGCCTGGGCCATGGTTCTCTGCCTGGCCATGGTCCCTGCCTGGGTCATGGTCCCTGCCTGGGTCATGGTTCCTGCCTGGGTCACGGTCCCTGCCTGGCAACACTGGCCTGGCACTCATAGGCAGGTTGGCTGCTCTGCTGAACACAAATGACTTCACAGAATGCTATCGGATGGTCCACCAAGACTGTGACAGATCAGGACCAAAACGAAAGAGGCGACAGCTGAGCAATTCCACAATATGAAAATACCAAACACCTGCTTTCCTGTTGTGAGTGATCGCTGCATCTGTATCCCCTCTTCCTCTCTCCCACCTTCTAGGGAAAATTAAAATACCCAATGACGTAATCAGCCCTGCTTTCCGACAGCGTCCCATCCAGAGCAGAGCCCCACTTCCCTGAACCCTCCCCGGCGCCACCTATCACAAGCCCAGCCCTATGAGTCCTTTCCACACCCTCCTTAAAAAATATATTTATATGTAAATAGGTATGTACATATATACCCATATACGTTGAGCTGTAGATGGACAATACCTTTACTTTATTAATTTAGTGTTTTAATGTGGTGCTGAGGATCGAGCCCAGTGCCTCCCCGTGCCAGGCAAGTGCTCTGCCTCTGAGCCCCAGCCCCGCCCCTCCACCATTCTTTTATGGAGTCGTCTCAGAGTCCCATGCTGGGCCACCTCCTTCCTGCTAAGGAGCCAACTGCCCCTGTATCTCACTGCTGGTGGTCCCTGGAGGTCCTTGGCTGGCAGTCATTGACACTACCACCTGACCCTTGTCATCCCTGGGTACGTTTCTTTTTGTTTTGGTGGTGGTAATACATGCTTAACATCAAGTTCACCATTTTGGTCTTTCTTTTAGTCTATAGTTCAATGGCGTTAAGAATATCCTAGGTATATGTGTATACTTTTAAGTACAGATCCAAAAAACAATGTGATCTGCAAGGTTTTAAACTTCAGGAAATGGTATCATTCTGATAGGCATATTTTTTCCAAACCTAGGTAGATCTGCCACTGAGCTGTCTGCCTCTCCCCAACCCCAAACATCTTTTCATCACTTGACATACCTTGGGGGTTTTCATTTCACATCACATTTTTGATATGATTCAGATCTGTCACATAATTTTTTTTAAACTGGGAATTAAACCCAGGGACACTTAACTACTGAGCCACAACCCCAGCCCTTTTTGTGATTTTATTTAGAGACAGGGTCTCGCTGAGTTGCTTAGGGCCTCGATAAGTTGCTGAGGCTGGCTTTGAACTCATGATCCTCCTGCCTCAGCCTCCTGAGCTGCTGGGATTATAGGCATACGCCACAGCACCCAGCCTGTCACATAATTTTTTTTTTTTTTTTTTTTTTTTAGAGAGAGAGAGCGAGAACTTTTAATATTTATTTTTTAGTTTTTGGCAGACGGACACAACATCTTTGTTGGTATGTGGTGCTGAGGATCGAACCCGGGCCACACGCATGCCAGGCGAGCGCGCTACCGCTTGAGCCACATCCCCAGCCCCCGCCACATACTTTTTAATGGCTACAAAGAAGTTAGAAGAACTTTGAAATGAGGTCAGCTGGATGTCTTTTGTTGCATTTTTCACCGGTCCYCACCCTACCTTTGTCTCCTGTCTTGGTGTAAATCTTGGGGGTCTTGGGGCTCTTCGATGGAGGCTGTAGCCTAATGAGAAACAGACACCAAGAGGTCATGAGTGAGAGATCTTACACAGAGGGGCACCTCTGTGGGTCCCAGCTTTCTGCCTGCAACCTCAGCAGTAGCCCTTACCCCCACCCCACCTTTTGGGTGGCAATATCTTGTTGACCTCTGTCCCCCCTATTCCTTCTACTTCAAGTCCTTTGTGAACCAGCTCTGTACCTTGCCCACAGGTGTCTGGAGAGTAGCTGATGTAATGCATTGCTCAATGGAATGGAGATGTTCAATGAATATCTGATGAAAGAACTGATTGACTAATCCCCCCCATAGCTCCTGTACCACAGTGGATTTTGGGCATTCTCTCCTGGATTTCTCCTGAAATCCTCCAGTAACCCCAAAGGTAGACACGACCTGTTACCTTCATTTTACTGTTGAGGAAACTGTAGCTCACAGTGAGACTCATTTTCCTGAGAGGGAAGAGGCAGAGCTTGGGATTCACCTCCAAGACTGTCCTACTCCAGGGCCCAAACTGTTCCCTCTACCCTCCCCAAACTCTTACTTTCTACCACTAAGTCAGGGCCTCCTGGAGGGAAAGAAAACTGGGCCACTTCCATTCCACAAGGCTTCAGGTACACTCAGAAATGAAGTATTACTAAAACAGGATTTGAAAATAAGCATTTTCACTTTTTTTTTTTTTTAGAACAACAGCCTTTTATTTTTAAGAATTTATTTTTTAGTTTTAGGTGGACACAATATCTTTATTTTATATTTATATGGTGCTGAGGATCGAACGAAGTGCCTCATGCACGCTAGGTAAGCACTCTACCACTGAGCTACAGCCCCTCAGTCTTATTGGCAGTGCTGGAGACTAAACCCAGGTCCTCATGCATACTAGGCAAATGTTCTACTACTGATTTACATCCCTAGGATTCCCCCAAACTAACATTTTCAAATAGCAACATAAAACTTAGATAGCTTGGGGTTGGGGCTGGGGCTTAGCAGTAGCGCACTTGCCTGGCATGTGTGAAGTACTGAGTTCGTTTCTCAGCACCGCGTATAAATAAATAAAATAAAGAAAGGTCTATCAACAACTAAAAAAATAAAAAATTTACATAGCTCAAAATTAAAATGTGACATTATATGGTTATTCAAAAGTTATATTACTGAACCTATAAAATATATTAACCCATTATTAATTCGTGGTATTTTACAGGTTCTGAGGCTGGGGTGGTCTTGGGGAGCGGTGCAAATTTCAGAGCACATGATGAGTGCCACCTCGAGATAATGCCAGTGTGTCTGTATAAACTGCTTTGGAGACAGGTCAAAATCCGACTGTGGGTCCTCCTGGCCCACAAGGGCCATGGCCTGCCCTGACTGATGACAGCTGGGCTGCATTAAAATCTGGCAAAGAAATCCTGGCTTCCACGTTGCTCACGGTGACGTCAGTACACTGGGGACGTCATGTTGACGTACCCAAGGTGACGACATCACGATGCTCTCTGCAGGTGTTCGAGTTACCCAACCAGCCCGACACTCACCTGTCCCCGTCTTCCACGCCCTGAGGCCCGCGACTCTGAAAACGGGGACATAGCAGCTTGCTAGCGCCTAGGCACCCGCGAAAGCCAAAGCGACCTCCCCTGACCCACACAGCCATGCCCTGGGCCACTAGTCGGGAGCTGACCCAGCCAGGCCACCGTCCAGGCCCGGGGGATGACTCCACCCACAGCCGCCGCGCCACCGCTCAGATGCCGTTTCCCATTGGTTCGCGTCTCTCGGACCAGGGCGGGACCCTCCTAAAGGACTTGTTTTCCATTGGTTCGCCTAAGGAGAGGGGCGGGAAGACCCTTGACGGCTTGGTTGCGATCCCTATTGGCCAATGCAAGCCAATTCGTGAAGGGGTTCCCGGCTTGCCTGCTCTGATTGGCTGGACGGAAAATAGAGGCCGCCTCCCGCGGGGCACTAGTTCTTGGGGATGGAGGAGACCCGGAGCAGTAGATCAGGCTCCGGAGCGAAGGGGCGGCGGCGGCAGCAGGTGAGACGCAGGGGTCTCAGGACCGGGTGGCGCGAGATCCGAGGCCAAAGACGACCCCGTGTCGGGCGGCCAGCTTCGTTGGCTCAGTTTCCCCAACTCTGAGAGTCCGTCCTGAGGTGTGGGCAGCCTCAAATCTGGCTGTCCCCCTCCCTCAGAGCAGGGATTGCCGGGTTCCTGGCTCCCAGTGCGACTGAGGTCTTCGGGGAATAAACAAGGCGGTTCACGGAAAGCCTTAAGCGAAGGGTAATTTTGCATTATTTGTAAAAGTGTAAAATGCTACACACCCGGAGACGCAGCAAGGCACTGGCTGCACTTGTTGCAGAAATCTTCGCTGAAGTGTGCAAAACCGGGCTGGACTGGTGTTTTCTGCAACCATGTTTATAACTGTGACATCTTGGAAACAGCCTCAGTGTCCAGGAAAGAGTTCTTTTTCATCCACGATTTCATGGGAATCAATCTCCTCCTCTCTCCCTCTTCCTTTCTCAATCCCTCCCTTCCCCATTTCCCTCTTCTGCCTGCCCCCCTCTTTCTTGCTGGGGATCAAACATAGGGCCTTGCTCACTGCTCATGCTAGGAAGGTGTTCTCCCACTGACCTACCCTCCCAACCCTCATGTGAATTTCTGCCTTCAATAGTAATCGTTATAAAAGAACAAACTAGTAATAGTTATCTATCAGTAATCAAGTGATAACAGTAATGCCAGACACTTCTATTTTCTTTAGATTAACTTAACTTTCCCAATGATGTGTTGAGGTAGGTTACATTATTGTCTCTATATAATGTGTGGGTAAACTGAAGTTCGTAGCCATTTAAGTGAGTTAGCAAAGATGATATATCACTGGGGAGTAGAAGAGCTGGCATTTGAACTCTTGTCTTTCTCATTTGTCCAGTTGACCGTATTACTGCACTACTTTCAGGTATGTAGCAAGTATTCTTTATGCTGTTGTGGTTGTTATAGAGATGTGATTAATATGGTCTTCCTCTGAGATCTCTTCCTGCTGTCCTGACATCTAGGCACCTTTGTTCCTCTCTCTGGCTTTCCCTTTCAGGATTCCAAGAGCCATGTTGTCCAAAGTCCTACTGGTGTCTTCTCCAGGGAAAGTCATCCTTCATGGAGAACATGCTGTGGTCCATGGCAAGGTAAAAATCCCCCAGAGCTTTCAAGGATTGGATCTCACTTCTCCCCGACACTGATCTGGCAAGAAGGTGAAGCAAGGCTCTGAGGCTTAGCTTGGGAGCAGATCAGAGAGGAGGCTCATTTCTCCCCGGCCAGATGAGGCAAAGACAGATCTTATGCCCACTGAAGAGCTTCCCTGGCCTCACTCAGTAAGACAGCAAAAGATGATATATGTAAAGCCCTGCATGTGGAATGAAATTACTTTGGAAATGAGCTGATGGACAGGAGAAGATGTTTGAGGACTGAGCACAGGGGGCGCTCCCATGGTTAGGAGTTGAAAGATGATCCAGCAAACAAGTCAGAAACATGCATCAGCTCATTTAACCTTTGCACCTATCTCTGGAGGGCCATTCCTTTGTTTCCTATTTACAGATGGGGAAGCTCAGGCTTAGAAAATCAGTACCCTGACCAAGCTCCCCACACCCTGGTGAATGTTGTAGTGAATCAGCTCTGTCTGAACCCAAAGCTCATGCTCATCCACTCGTTCATTCCAAGGGCCATTCTTTATGTTCTTATTTATATTTCTCTTTGAGAATGTCGAGATCATGGGGAAGCAAAATTCCTTGGTGTTGAGAACCTCTGAAGCTTTCCATGGAGAAGGCAGATATAAGTGGAAATAAACTCCTAATTCAGTGGTAGTGGCTGTGCCCAGGGTCAGTGGGACAGCAGGGCAAAGCTGATCCCCCGGTCTGCCAGGGCATAGGTTGGGAGTGGCCTGTGTGCTGGTATTTGCCCTCACTTCCCAGTATATTGACTCTGGTCCCCTCCCCGCCCACCCTCAGGCTAACTACTCTTGCCCTTTACTATACAGGTAGCACTGGCAGTGGCCTTGAACTTGAGAACATTCCTCCGGCTTCAACCCCAAAGCAATGGGAAAGTAAGCCTCAACTTACCAAACATTGGGGTCGCACAGGCCTGGGATGTGGCCAGGCTTCAGCTGTTGGACACAAGCTTCATGGGTAAGTGCAAGCCCCAGATGTGAGAGAGCCTGGGCCCTGGAGACGGGGAGAGAAGGCACCTAGGTGGGTTCCGGCTGTTCCAGAGGGAGCCAGAAGCAAGCCATTCCAGGGGTATTTTCTATTCTGACCTCGTACAATTAGCTTCACTTATTCAGTATGTTGTCTTAATTTAAAAGTGTAAAACTATGCACCAGATATCTGTGGGCTATCGTGGGTATATTATCAAGGCCTACTGTTCAGTAAAAAAACACAGGATGTAAAATAGCATCCATGCACACTTACGTGAGAGTCAGTGTGTGAATGCATAGAAACACATTGACCATGGTGGTGCACTCCAACTACTCAGAAGACTAAGGCAGAAGTGCTGCAGGTTTAAGGCCAGCCTGGGCAACTTAGGGAGGCCCTGCCTCAAAATAAAGTAAAAAGAGGGCTGGGGCTGTAACTCAGTGTAGAGCTTGCCTAGTATATGCAAGGCCCTGGGCTCAATCCCCAGTACTGCAGGGAAAGAAAAAGGGATAGAAAAATGTGTGAGGTAATAGACATCAAGCTGACCTCTGGGAGGATCCTAGGGGTTGGGAGTAGACAGAGAGAGCCTTCTATAATGTGGCTTTCAACAAGGAAGATGAATGTGTGGGCATTTTATGTGTCAATTTTTTTTTTTTTTTTTGGTACGAGGGATTGAACCCATAGGTGCTTAATCACTGAGCCACATCCCCAGCTCATTTTTATTTTTTTTTTAATTTTTTTATTTTATTTTTTTTTAAAGAGAGAGTGAGAGAGGGGGGGAGAGAGAGAGAGAGAGAGAGAGAGAGAGAGAGAGAGAGAGAGAGAGAGAGAGAGAGAGAGAATTTTTAATATTTATTTTTTAGTTCTCGGCGGACACAACATCTTTGTTGGTATGTGGTGCTGAGGATCGAACCCGGGCCACACGCATGCCAGACGAGCGTGCTACCGCTTGAGCCACATCCCCAGCCCTCATTTTTATTTTTTATTTTGAGATAGGGTCTTGCTAAGTTGCTGAGGCTGGCTTTGAACTTGCAGTCCTCCTGCCTCAGCCTCCCAAGTGGCTGGGATTACAGGAGTGGATTGCACCCTGGCTGGCAATTTAAAATTCTTAAAAATAGGACTGAGTGTAGCTCAGTGGCGCACCGTGTGTTTAGCATGCATGAGGCCTCGAGCTCAAACCACAGTGCAAAAAGAAGAACAAAGTATTAACAATGAGAGTAACCTGTGTTTATTCCTAATAGTGAACCCAGCTCTGTCTGAACCCAAAGCTCATGCTCCTAATTAACAAAATGACAGATGACAAAAAAATTCACCCATTATTGCTTTTCTGTTTCCCAGTAACCACTCTAATCAATTTGGTATTAATCCTTCTGAGATATTTTTTGTTGATATTGAAATATTTAGATTGATGGAGAGAGAGAGAGAGAGAGAGAGAGAGAGAGAGAGAGAGAGAGAGAGAGAGAGAGAGAGAGACACCTTGTTTTTTTACCAAAATTGGGTGAGTCTGGCCTGGGTTGTGGCTCTGTGGTAAAGTGCTTGCTTAGCATGTGTGAGGCACTGGGTTGGATCCTCAGCACCACATATAAATAAATAAAAGGTCCATTGACAACTAAAAAAAAGTATTTAAAAAAATGGGTCAGTCCATTATCCACTTTTCTGGAATGTGTGGGTTTTCCCTTCAGTGTAGCAGGATCATCTTTCCATGCCACTAAGCAAGGGTGTTGCTCTTGACGACGTGAGAAGGCTGTGTCCTCCCACAAGCTAGCGGGTAGTGGCTTGTTTTCCTCGGTTAGGGGAGCTGCCACCTGCTCAGAGCTGGAGCTAGTCTCTCTTCTCCCTCCGCATCTCCCTTTGGGCCGATGTCTCATTGTTGGCCGCAATGTTCCTCAGCAAGCCTTGGGCAAGCGAGAATCCCCAGGGCTTTCTTCCAGACTGTACTTGAACCCTGAGGAGCCACAGCTGCTCCCATAGGAGAGGGAATAGAGTTGGGAGTCTTCAGGCTGTGAGTAGCTCAGTGGGAGAGCTCTGGGTTCAGTCAGCACCACCAAAAATTAAAAAAATAGAAATAAAAAAATCTTACAGCAGCCATTTTAAACTGTCATGCCTTGGAATCATGGGAGGACATGCTTACTGTGATTTTTACCAGTACAGATGGCTTCCTGGCCCCGTGCGTCTCCTTCTGAGAGTTGTTAGTGGTGGTACGGGCTGCGTGTGTATTTTGAAAGGGGTTCCCTGGGTGATACCAGGGACACCCTCAGTTAAGTGCCACTGCCTTGGAGCTTGCCTCAGAAGATGGCACCTGGGACTTGCCTTCTCTGGAGCCCAGGGCCACCCAGCCAGGGCAGACATATTCCCTGAGAACCCGATGCTGCTTTGGTAAATCAGTAGCATGAGGTGGCAGCAGCCTGGAGTGGCACCTCTCGGACTTCCTAGGTGAGCCTGGCAGGTCACTTCACCTCCCAGGCCCCCGCGAACAGGGTTGGGGTGACTGTGAACTCCAGCGGGGCTGGAGGCCGTGCTGCTGAGCTCGGTGGGTAGGTCAGGGCTGTCCATTGACTTCAGAAGGAGACACAGGAGTCTGAGCCCTTCGGATTCATGTCTAAGAGGTTGCAAGCCTCTGCCACCTTGGGAAGTCCTGGAATTCTCCAGCTCTCCTGGAAGTGGGTGGTGTTATTCATGCCCATTATATGGACGTGAGGATTGGAGTATGGAAGTCCCATGGCCTGAGCCACCCCATGTGTCAGTGCTATAGAGGGGACTCAGATCCAGTCTCCCTGAACTCTAAGCCTGTCGCAGCTCCGTGCAGAAGTCTGCAGTGTCTAGGTCTCTGTCACACCTGTGCCAGGACTTAATAGGTGCCCGAAGTTTCCCAGCACAGGCACATCCAACTCCCAGGCTCCCGCCTGTCACTGGGAAAAACCTACAACCCCACCTTTCCCTCTTGCCCAACCCACACTGAGCTCAGAATTTCACAACACCTTTCCCCACTTTATCTCCATGGCAACCTCTGACGAGGTCCCTTGAGAGCAACTGAGGTACAGAGAAGGTAGGTCACGGGCTCAAGGCCACACAGCAAGTGGATGGCACAGTTGGGACCCATTCCCAAGCCTGCCCACTCCCGAGGCTCCAGGCCAGTGGGTAGACTTGGCTCTGCTGCTGGGACTGTGAATGCATGTCTGTCCCTATCTGCTTCCGGTGACCACTTGTATGTTGTTTATAAAGGCCCCTGAGGCCCCTGGCCCACCTGTGTTTGTGTCTGACAGAGCAAGATGACGTCACGGTGCCCGTCGCAGAGCAAGTGGAGAAGCTGAAGGAGGTGGCAGACTTCCCTGAGAACTGGGCCGCCACCGAGCCCCTGGCGGTGCTGGCCTTCCTATACCTGTACCTGGCCATCTGTCGGAGGCAGAGGTGCGCGGTGGGGCGGTGGGGAGGGAGGCGGCAGGTTCCAGTCACACCCTGCTGGGGAAAGCTCGGTCTCTGGGGGCAGCCTCGGCTGCCCTCACCTGTGCCAGCGCCCTCCAGATGCTCTGTAGATGACAGCCCGAGGGAAGCCGAAACTCAGGGACATAAGGACACAGTCCCCCTTTTGCCTGCTCCACCCCACATGTCCCTCCCTGTTCTCTTCAGTCTGCGAGGCCCTTCTCGGGTCCCCAGGTGGCCTCTCCGTGGCTCTGCTGAGGGTCCACATCTTATTGCTCCAGGGAAACTGGTCAGCAGAGCAGACCCTGCACCCCTTCCCCTCTTACCCTGAGATGTAGGGAAGCCAGCTCCCAAGGGTGACAGTACTGTTAGGCGATGACACACTCCACAGGCAGACGGCGTGGGTTCAAGCTCCCGCCGCACCGCTCATCCCCAGAGCCGGCTTCCCTGTGCGCACAGTGGGTGTGGCAGAGGACCTGCTGCTGGTTGTGGCGGCTCGGTTTCTCTGAAGTGCTTGGCGCAGAGCCTGGCCAGGAGCTCCTCAGTGCTATGTTGTGGAGAATCCCACAGAAAACAGGGAGGTTGGAAACCCATCAGGGCTGGGCTGGAGCTCAGGGGCAGAGCGCTTGCCTTGCATGTTTGAGGCACTGGGTTCGATCCTCAGCACCGCATGTGAATAAATGAATAAAATAAAGGTCCATCGACCATTGAAAAATATTTTTAAAAATCCACATAAAATGGACTTAGCACTGTGCCTGGCACACAGTGAGGATACACAGCGAGCAGCAAATACCGGCTCAACTTCTGGCTCATAGTCTGGCTCAGCGTCCCTTGTGCCGAGGACACATTCGTAAATGCCAACACTTGCTGTCTCATGCAGGGATTTTTTTTTTTTTTTTTTGGTACTGGGTCTTAGACCCAGGGGTGCTTAACCACTGAGCCACATCCCCAGCCCTTTTTATTTTTTATTTAGAAACAGGGTCTCACTAAGTCGCTTAGTGCCTCGCTTTTGCGGAGGCTGACCTTGGACTTGTGATCCTCTGGCCCCAGCCTCTGGAGCCTCTGGATGGCAGGCTGGCGGCAGGCCCAGCTTAGCGCAGGGGTTTTCAGCTTGGGAGGGGCGTGTCCTTGAGTAGGTGGGAGTCTTTCAAAACCTCCCACCCTGGGGAGGGGCGGCAGGTGGATCTGAGAAGGCTCCTGGGGGCGTTGTCATTTTTATATGTGGCAGATGCTTTAATGGCAATTACCCAGCATGAGGTTGACAGGTGTCGCTTGGGGTACACTTAAGATGTGAGTCCAAACTTCGTGGCGATCCACAGCAGACCTGGCTGCACGTGCTGGGGAGAGCTCTCCCGGGGGACAGGCCTCCCCGGGAGCGTGCCGCCAGGTGTGCCGCAGTGAGGTGACATGGGGAAGGTTACCTGTGGGGGTCCTGGAGGGCAGCTCGGAGGGGCCCTGTGGGTGGTCCAGAAGGGTCACAATGGAAGTGACACCTGAGAGGGTCTTGAAGGATGGGTCGGGGTCTCTCGGGGGCAAGAAGAGGTACGAGGGCATCAGTGGCACAGGCCCAGCAGGGCGGTGAGGCCTAGCAGGAGGGAGCAGGAAGGCCGTCGTAGGGGGCTTGGTGGTCAGGAGGACCTGAGGGACAGCTCTGGGTGGATGGTGCAGTGGCTGAGTGGACCTGGTACCTGTTTCCCAGTTGTCTGGTCCACCAGGAGCACCCGCCATCCAACCGGGAAGGCTCTGGGGTCAGGAAACCCTCCTGACTTCAGAAAACTGGGCCAGACGCAGAGTCTGAACCTGGTCCCCGGCCCTAGACTCAGCCTTGGCACCTTGCCGTCCGTCCTTGTACGAGGGTCCCACTTTGCACCGGCCTGTTGCAGGGCCCTGCCAAGCCTGGACATCACGGTGTGGTCGGAGCTGCCCCCCGGGGCCGGCCTGGGCTCCAGCGCCGCGTACTCGGTGTGTCTGGCGGCCGCCCTGCTGACCGCATGTGAGGACATCCCCAACCCGCTGGAGGACAGCACGCACACCAGCAGGTAACCGTGGTCTGCGTCCTTCCTGGGTACCAGGCTCTCGCCAGGAGTCTCCTCAGGACCTCGTCACCACCCTCTGTGGCGGGAGGTGTCATGGGCACTTCACAGGTGACGAAGCTGAGGCCCACAGAGACCAAGCAGGGTCCACACAACTAGAGGCAGCAGAGTGGGGTTGGAGCCCCGGCTGTCTGAACCCAGAGTCTGAGCCTTCACCCCTGTGCTGAGCCGCTTCTGCACCCACCCTCACCCACTCTGGGCCCTTTGAGGGCCTGTGTGCGTGGTGGGAAGAGCTCGAGTCAGGTATCGGTGGCCACAGATCGGACAGACCCTCTCACTTCTGACTCACTTCCTGAGGGCTGGGCCTGGTCACTCTGCCTGGTGACGAGAGTGCCCCCGGGTCACAGGGCGGTCGAGCCAGTTGGTTATGCAGAAAGGCGTGACGTGCCCGAGCAGCATCAGGAGGCGGCTGCTGGGGGGGCATCTGCTCCTGTCCTCGCCTCCCGGGGGCTGTGGCCTGGCCTCACTGTGGGGCACCTCTTCCGTCACCTGGAAAGGCCCCTTGAGACACCACCCAAGCCCAGTGGCCGTGGCCTCGTCCTGGCCTCGTGGGTTGTGGAAAAGGCCCCAGAGTCCCCGCAGCTTCATCGTGGGGCGTCCCCTGGGCCCACATGGCTTGGGGACCCGCCCAGCTGGGGACTCAGGGCACCAGCTGTGTGGTGCTGGCCGCTATGACCATCAGGTGCTGGGCTAGTCTGGTTCCTCCAGGTGTGTGGGGCGTCCAGTGGAGGAAGTGTCACCAACCCCAAGTGCCTCCACACCTCGCGGCCCTCAGCAGGCCACAGGGAGGAGCGAGGCCCAAGGACACGAGGGCTCCCTGTGGCTGGAGACTGTCCTCTGCCTGAGTTTGTTCTGGTTGAGTTTTTCTCTCTGGTACAGAGAGGCTGGTTTCTGTCCCCCAGCCCTGGAGGCGCCTGGCAAGGCTGCTGTCCCATCCAGTTGTCCCCTCCCTGAGACGTGCAGGTTGAAGTCAGCTGAATCCAGCTGGAGCCCCAGGTCACTTGGGTCCTCACGGCCCCCGTGGAGCTGGAGTCTGTCTGAAAGGTTCCCTGGGTGGGGACAGGGCAGCGGCTGCCACAGGTCAAGGGAGAAATCGGCAGGAGAAGGCATGGCGCCTCTGGGCAGCGCTGTTCTCCAGGGTGTCGGCTCTGCCTGTGAACTGGCCGTGTAGCGGGGGTGACTCCTCTCTGGGGCTCCCTTCCCTCCTCTGGGAGTCAGGGACGGGACCCGAGGCTCCCTTGTGGGGTCTTCTGTCCTTGGCATTTGGCCATCCCGTGATAATTGCTGGCCATAACCAGATCAGTGAAGGCCGGTTCCTGGGTCCCTGGCCACACACAGGCCAGCAGTCCGGCACAGGTGGCTGTGTGTGTGAGTGACACAGGCACACGTGTGCTCTCTCATGCAGCCTTTGGCCTCTGAGGACCTGTCATTGCCCCACCCCACCCGCAGCCTGGCTTCTCCTGTCTGAAGGACAGGCCCAGTTCTCTCTGGAGCCTTGAGGCTGGGCCCCTGGGGCAGGGCCTGCATTGAAGGGGAGGAGGGGAGGCCCACGTTGCCCCGAGGGCCAGCCTCTGAGGGAGGTCAGCCGCCAGCTCTCGTCCCTCTCCATCCCTGCTGCTTCCCAGGCAGCCGCTGCCCCTCAGTCCCTGGCCCAGCTCCAGGCGTGGCACCGCAGGGCCCTCTGGCTGGGGTGCGGTCCCCTGCCTCTGTCTGGCTGCCCTCCGCCCCCATTTGGCGTGAGGTGCGCTCTATTGAGCCTGCATTGCGCTAATCTAAGGGCTCATTTGGGAGGTAAATATTGCAATGTGACTCGTCTGTAACTAAAAATCGATTGCTTCCAGCTCCCTGTAACCATCACGTTCCAGGCTCCAGGAAGTTGGCAGCCATGTCTCTTTTAGCTCCTGGCAGTGAACTTAGTTACGGGTCTGTTACTAGTTGCTCAATAAATACGAAAGGGTGAGCGAGCGGATCTCAGCACCATAGAGTTTCATGGCGCAGAGCTCAGGCTCCAAGTTGGCAGGGGTGATCTGGAGTAGCAACAGGTACACTGCGATCTTGGAGAGGACATTTTGCCCATCTGAGCCTATTTCCCTTCTGGTGAAAGGGGATCATAGTGGTAGCTTCCCTGCAGGGTTACTGAGAGGAAGGCAGGAGCTGGTCCATCTGAGAAGGCACTGAGCACTTGGTACTTGGTACTCAGTGGTATTGACCAGTGTTAGCTCATCTTGAGTCAGAGCCACAACCAGCGCATGAGGCACATGAATCCTCACTTGGCAGGTGAAGAAGGAGACTCGGGAGATGCGTGTATATACATATGTGTAGGTAGACTCCGGAGGGAGATGCGTATATAGGTGGATATAAATGCACACACACATATATACAGATACACATACACATCTTGTGGGGGGTACTGGGGATTGAACCCAGAGGCTCATTACTACTGAGCAGCATCCCCAGTCCTTTTTGCTTAGGGCCGTGCTAAGTTGCTGAGGCTGGCCTTGAACTGTGATCCTCCTATCTCAGCTTCCCAAGCCACTGGGAAGGTACAGGTGTGTGCCACTGTGCCTGGCCCCAGTCCTTTCTTAGTTTTGAGGCAGGGTCTTGCCTAGGGCCTCACTAGGTTGATGAGGCTGGCCTCAAACTTGTGATCCTCATGCCTTAGCCTCCCGAGTCAGGTTGCTGGCATGACAGGCGCGTGCCATCGCACCCAGCTCAGAGGGGATAATCGACTCAGCCAGGGCTCTCCAGCAAACGCAAGGCAAGTGCTGTCCCACTGGCCATGTCCCCAGCGCTTGAACTGGGTTTGAGGGCATCAGGAGCTGTGATCCCTGCTGGTGTGTTTTGGGGAGCACCTACTGTCCCCTAGGTACATGCAGGGACTCATGGGTTCTTCCCAAATCACGGAGAAGTTGGGGCGAGAGCTGGAGCAGTTGTGGGGTACTCTGAGTTCCGGCCAGCTCGCTGCATCAGCCCCCGCCCTGCCCTGAGCCAGGCCCTTCGCAGAGGCTGCACAACCACCTTTGGCCGCTGCTGTTCCGTGGGGAAGGGAAACCGCAGGGAGGAAGCCTGGGGTCAGGGCTGCTCCCTCTCCTGTCTCCACATGGTGCTTGGGGTCTGTCGACATGGGCAGGGACTGAGCCCTCGCCCACTCTGTGGAGGGCTGCTGGTGCTTTGGGGAGGTTCAGAGACGGCGGGTGCCAGCCTGGCCCCCCAGGGCCCTCTGGGTGGGGTCGGCGGTGGCTGGTTTGCCTGCTCGCGGGGCATGAATCCTCCCCCTGCAGCTCTTCCTGAGCTTCAGCTCGGCTCAGGAGCAGGCAGAGGTCCGTGCTGTGACGGTGACTGCCCACTGTGTGTGGACGCCTTACGGGGCACTGTGCCAGCCTTGGCCACACAGGTCCACAGCCCCAGGGAGGGTGGAGCTGGGCTTCTTCCACTGAGGGAGGCAAGGAGCAGAGCAGTCAGGCAGCTGGCCCAGAGTCACTCAGCTAGAAAGTGGCACTGTGGGGACCCCCAGCCGGGCTTCGCCCACTGCGCCGGGCAGCTTCCAAGGGAAGGGACAGGAGGTTCCGCCTGCTCTTGAGCCGAGCGGTCAGCGCCGTTGGCTCTTCTTCCTGGGTTTGGGGCCCAAGCCCTGCGCCTCTCGTGCTCCACCCTACACGGGCCACCGCTCTGGCCCTCTGCTGCCCGAGGTCACCCTGGTCCCCACTGACCACCACTTGCTGAAGGTGTGTTTCTGTGTTGCCAGGTGGTCCGAGGAGAACCTGCAGCTCATCAACAAGTGGGCCTTCCAGGGGGAGAGGGTGATCCACGGGAACCCCTCGGGAGTGGACAACGCCGTCAGCACGTGGGGTAGGTGGCCCTGGGCCCGCCTCCTTGCTCTTCGTGGAGTCTCGCTGTGTTCCCAGACCCCCTGGCCCCGTTGGCTTGGGAGGTGCGGGGTCCGTGGGTTCTGAGCAAGATGGCGCTTCCTGCCTGCCTCGTACCCTCCCTCAGGGCCTGGTGGGGCCAGGCGGCCACCCCTGTGGGGAGCAGGCTGGGTGCCCTCTCGCCAGGCCTAGATGCCAAGGCCCAGGCTCCGGCTCTGCTGGGTGGCCCGCGGAGCCACACTGGGTGACGTGGAGGAGGAGGGGGCTCCTGGAGTCCCCGCAGGCCTTCCTGCCTCCTGGCCCACTTGCCGCTGGGCTGGGGTGACCAGCTGTCCTGCTTTGCTGGTCCCCTGGGGGGCCAGCCTGGGGCATGGGCAGCCCTCCCTCGAGCTCTGACGCTGGCTTCTTCCCCAGGGGGAGCCCTCCGCTACCAGCAGGGGAAGATCTCGTCCCTGGACAGGTAACTGGGCAGGGGCTCGGCTGCGTCCTTCCCCGGGCCACGCTGTGGCGGGTGCTTCGTCTGATCAGCTGCACACGGGCAGCTGTCCCTGCGCTCCCGCCCCTGCATGGCCTCATACTGGCTGGCAGTGCCCCTGGGTGCAGCGAGGAAGCCTGGCTCTGGACCCTTAGCTCGTAGATGGCCACGCATGGCCGTCCCTCCCACCTTCCAGAAGGCAGCCGTTCCCACAGGCCCCTGGCTGCGGGTTTGTCTGTCCATTTAGTAAACAAGAGTCGGGACTCTCCCCGTGCCCCTGGTGACCAGTCCTGGGGCCTGGCAAAATAGTCTGAATGGGGGATGGACAGACAGACACAAAGCCTTCTATGGGACAGCGAGGGTTCCGTGACGGGGCGCAGGCCAAGGCAGGACTAAAGCCCACTTCTGGGAGGCTCGAGAGAGGCGCTGATAGAGGGGACATTGGCGATTCACCTGTTTCCTGGGTCTTTCCCCTCCCTCTGGAGCCACTGGAACCCAGGTGCGCGGTCACCCTGCGTTCTGTGGGCACCCCGGTGAGGTGCCAGGTGCCCGGGCCCAGACGGGTGGCAAGCGGGGGACTCTGACCCTCCAAGTCGGGCAGCAGCGTGTCCCAGGGACCTTGCTGCTGCCTCCGGGTCCTTCTGTGTCCCTTCCTTCTTTACTCAGGGAGTCTTCTCTGCAGCTGGGCAGCAAGTCCAGGCCTCTGCCCTGGCCAGAGTCGGTGGACTGAGTGTCGGCCCCTGCCCTCAGGAGCCACGGGGACGGGCGGAGGCAGCCATGGCTGTCGTGGTCAGAGCAAAGGCAGCCGAGGGCTCGGAGCTGTGGTTCACTGCAGATGGCCCTCGGGGCGGTGGCCTTTCATTCACCTGGTTCCCGAGAGCCAGTTGTACCTAAGCATGGGACCTGCCCCACAGATGGACACACCCCCGCAGGTGTCCCGGGGACAGGGGAGCCCTGGTCAGCTGAGCCACGACAGAGAGGCTGTGGGGTCCAGGCCTGGGTGTGCGCCCAGCTGTGTCCCGGGCAGCCGGTGCCCCTGGGAAGTCACTCTCCTGAGGCCCATCTTGTCACTTGCATGTCAGAAGTGCCATCCTAAAGTGCCCGACTGCTGACCAGACAGACCCACCCTTCCCCAGGTGTCACCGAGCGCCTGCTAGTGCTGAGCACTGCGGCCTCGAGGGAACCTTGGGAGGAGACAGCCGCCAAGTAGAATGCTCCAAAGGGCTTGTCGGGCAGTCCCCAGCGCCTGGAGGACAGGAAGCTGGGCCAGGAACTAGAGCTGAGGGGCTGATGGGATGCTGTCCTGGGGGCCGGAGGGGGCCTCTGGGAGCACAGTGGACAGGGTCCCGGGGGCTGAAGAGTGAGGCTCTGCAGAGTAGATGCCACTGCCAGCCCCGAGGCAGGGGACAGCCAGGGGACAGCCAGGGGGCCAGGGAGGGAGGAGGTGGGGCTGGGGGTGGTCAGGCCCAGATTGCCGAAGCGCTTCCAGGGCAGAGCCCTGAGCCATGGCTGCTGGTGTTGGCCGCTGGGTTCGTGGGCTGGCGGCCCCTTGGCAGAGGACTCTGAGAAGGATGAGTTCCCGTGGGCGGGGACAGAGCGGGGACCTTTGCTGCTGGCTGCAGGGCACTACAGTGAACAGATGGCAGGTCCCCTAAGGGGCCGGGAGGCCGGGCTCCACCTTGATCCCGGGGTGGCGCAGAGGAGCCCTGGCGCCCCATCAGGGGGAGCTTCTCCCTGGGAAACGCACCGTCTGGGTCACCACGCCTCCAGGAGCTGCCCTTTTGAGCAATGACTTGTCTTTAAAGGGAAGAGAAAAGCCAAATAGAAAGTTCATCTTTTGTAAAGTTAAAAAAACAACAACTACCAAGCAAGCCAGCCTGGGGCTGGGATCGATATTAATTTCATGGGCTCCTGGCGGTGAGATAGAGCCGTCCTGGCAGCCTTTCCCAGCCCCGTGGGTTTCCAATCTGGAACTGTGAAGCCGTGAACCACTGTGTCGTGGGTCCCCGCTCCTGCAGCCGGCTCTGTCACTACGCGTCCCGAGGCTCCGCCCTCCATCCCCAACCTGCAGCGCTCCAAAAAGGGGGCTGCTCAGGTTCCCTGTGGACAGTGCCCCACAGAGCAGTCGGGGCTCAGGAGGGTCTAGGGGTCTTGCTGGGCACATCCGTTCCCTTCCCTGGGTAGCCCAGGGGGAGATGGACTCCCTGTAACCACAGCCATTTGGAGCTTGGCCACTGGTCTGGGGGCTACCCGTCTGGGGGCCACCGAGGTCAGGCAGGGCTGGGCAGCTGTGCTGGAAGGAAGCCGTCCTCAGCATCCGGCCTCCTGCTGCCGTCCTGCGCACCAGCTCTGTGATGCTGCTATGGTTGGAGCATCCCTGATCCCAGAATCCGAAATCTGAAGTGTTCCAAAATCCACCCTGAGCTTAGAAACTGCAGAGGTTTGCAGCCTTTTGGATTTCGGATTCTCTGATCAGGGAGTTTGTGCATATTCCCAAACCTGGAAAACCTGGAGTCTGAAACACATCTGGCCCCACGCTTTAGGAGAAGGGCCCTTGACCGGCACCTGCACTAGCTGTTGTGCATGTCACCCCTGCCACCCTGTACCACCCTATACCCCCTGCACCTTGGGATCTGCACCTCGCCAACAGGACCCGTCCTGGTCCTGTTGCTGCTGCGTCTAAACCCCCAGCACCCTCTGCTCCGCTCCCTGGTGGCCGCGTGACTGTGCCCCACCCCTCCAGACTTTGCACACGGCACTCCCCTGCTGGAAATATTTGCCCCCCCCCCCCCCCCCCCCCCCCCCCCCGCCTCAGCCCTGGGTGATTCTTACCCCTCCCATCTCAGCCACTTGGCAGCCGACTCCAAGGACCTTTGCCTTTGCCTCCTCCCCTCCCTGCCCCTGGTCCCCAGGCTGAGCTGGGTTTCCCCAGGTGGCCAGCACACAGGTGCCCCGCTGAAATTGAATGGATGACTGCACGAGTGAAGAGCCGGGGGCGGAGGGGAGAGGCAGCTGTGGCCAGGGACAGGAGCTCTGTGCCCCCCAATCCAGTGTCACCTCCCTGGGCCTCTACTCCCTCTTCTCTGTCAGGGTGGAGTTCTGGGTCACTGTCTGTCCTGCCCAGCTCCTCCATCCTGTCTCCTCTCCACCCTGCAGGCCCCCAGCTCTCCAGATCCTGCTCACCAACACCAAGGTCCCACGAAGCACCAAGGCCCTGGTTGCTGGAGTCAGGAACAGGCTGATCAAGGTGCTTCTTGACCCCCTCCTGGGTGGGCTTCGGGGAGGGCAGGACACAGTCATGTTTGGATTTGGAGCTGTCCTTCTAGCTGATGGGCTTTGGAGGGGTGCGTAGGTGGGGCAGGGAGACCTGGGGAGGCAGTCTAGACAGAAAAGGAGGTGCTGTGGGTGCTCACAGTCTGGCCGGAAGGCAGGGTGGGCATTCCTGAAGCAGATGATGGGGGTCGTTGGCCACGTGAGCTGTGCAGCCCGGAGCCGCTCCTGACGTGGCAGCCTGGGGCAGGGTGGACAGCGGCCTGGAGGGAGGGCAGGGGACCCGGGGTGGCCCCTCAACGGCCGCCTGCCCTCCCCGCAGTTCCCAGACATCGTGGAGCCCCTCCTGACCTCCGTGGACGCCATATCCGCGGAGTGCGAGCGCGTGCTGGCAGAGATGGCCTCGGCGCCGGCCCCCGAGCAGTACCTCCTGCTGGAAGTAAGAGCTGCGGCCCCCTGAGGGACAGGGCGCAGGACAGCYGCCCGCCTGGGCTGGGGCTGGGGAGACCCCGGCTGCTGCGGCCTCAGGCTCCGTCAGCCTGGCCCCGTCCTGCGTCCCTGCTGACTCCTGTGGCACCGGCTTTGGGTCCGGCAGGCTCCAGAGCTGTTCTGTGGCCGTCACCCCCGTCATTTGCATAACCCTGTGACCCCCACTTGGGACCCCGCTTTGCTTGGGGCAGGCTGTTGTCTGAGTCCCCCGCCCCCGAGTGCTCCCTGCTGGAGGCCACAGGCCCTGAGGTCCCACGGGGACGCACCRGCACAGCGCCTGGCGCCACCAGCTCAGTGAGTCAAGGGGCTGCTCCCCTGACACGGCCCTTCTGGCCCAGCAGAGGTGGACTCTGTGGACGGGCCTTCACAGATGAGCTCTCCTTCTGTCACCCTGTGAGGCGGGCGGATTGCCCGTGTAACAGATGTGAAAACGGGAGGCTGAGGCGAGAGGCATGCAAGTTTGAGGCCAGCCTCGRCCACTTCAAAACTCTGTCTCAAAATCTTTAAAAAGGGCTGGGGACATGGCTCAGTGTTAAAGTGCCCCTGGTTCCATCTCCAGTACTGAAAAAAAGAAAAAGGACAAACCCGAGGCCTAAAGAAAGTGGCTTCCTCCTAGGTCATCCAGCCAGTGAGTGACCGAGCCAGGGTCAGCCAGCCTGGCTCATGCATTGCTTCACTCAGCAGAGCTTTAATGAGCACCTACTACGTGCCAGGCTCCGGGAGTCTGTTAATTCCCCAGCCTTTGCCTTCCTGGCTCTCCATTCCCTCCACGTAGAGAGGAGGAGCGGTCCCCTGAGGAGGAAATTAATAATGACAGAGCACTGCTCAAACGTACCCGTCGGCCCCGAGAGCACGCGAACCGCGAGCTGATTATACGCTGTGTGTATTTTGGGCTGTGGCAGCCGCTGGAGTGTGCAGCTGTGCTCCTGGGCAGCTTGCACTCCAGCGAGCTGTTCTCCTGTGTCACAGCCTGTCATCTGATCCCTGACAGGTTTGGATCAGAATGTGACAGGTGTCTGGAACCTGCCTTGGCCACATGACACCTGGCGCTCAGGCACAGGGTSGGGGGGAGGGGCCCAGAGTCTTCTCACATTGCAGCCAATGGGGCCTGTGGGAGGCGCGGGGGCTGCCACCGGGGCCATCGCACCTGTCTGCCCTGTGTCACAAGCGCTGGGCAAGTGGGAAACGGGGGTGGGGACCCCAGCCTCCCGGCTGTCCGCTGGGCCCCACCTCCAGGTGGCTGTAGCGGAGGTGTCTTGGTGGAGCAGCGAGCGGAGCTGCGGGGTTCCCTGGAGAAGAGGGGGCGGGAGGCCCAGGGCACTGGCCGGCAGGTCATGGGCTCCGTGTCGGGCAGTAGCGCTCAGTCAGCACCTGCTGGCACGGTGACCTTAGGCAGGTCACTGCTCTACCTCAGTTTCCCCCTTGGTAGAATCAGGATGGTGGTGACGGAGCTCTCGTCTTGTACGAGTCCCCAAGGTCACTTGTGGCAGTGAAGCAGAAGACCCCTATGATCCCTGTTGCCCGGAGGAGACAGGCTCAGAGCCACGGACCTCCCCAGGGACACACCACCAAGGAGAGGCCAAGATGAGGCCCCAGAGCCCAAGCATAGAGCCCAGCGAGCTGTGTGTGCTTGGCAAGTGAAATGTAAACAGTGGAGCCCGATATGTCATTGCTGGGTCCTTGGAGAACAGGGATCTTATTTTGCATAATTGAAGAAACTAGACAGATATTTAGCTGTCCCCCACCCCCACCCCATGACCCTGCAGTAGATGCGGCCTAGTTATTCTGCCCAGTCTCTGAGGCAGCTGCAGGGTAGCATATTATTTGTGACTTTTTCCTCATGCAAATGACAGGAATCCGTCTCAGCCAGGTGTTAGCAGAAAAGATATTTATTGGCTCCAAACTGAGGAGACCAAAGCTTCAGGCACTGCTTGATCCAGCAGCTGGAACACTGTGTTGGGAACCTGTCTTTCGTGCCGTCTGTGGCACATGGCAGGCAGAGAACTCTGAAGGCCCGTGTCCCACGGTCACTAACTTTAGCAGCTCCAGTGGAAAGAGGTAGAGAAAACCCGGTCGACCCCACTTGGGTCCCCTGGCCACCCCTGAGCAGGTGGAGAGGGTCAGTTTCCTGGGCAGGGCCCGGATGAGAACAGGAGGGTGAGCTCTGCTCTTTTCGGGCGCCGTGGGAAGTCCTGCAGGTCGGAGGGGTCCTTGGGGGCAGCGCCTGTAGTCGGCACCTTGGCTGGTCTTCAGTGGGCAGGGCCTCGGCCTCGGCAGGAACCAGTGGGTCTCCTCCCCAGGAGCTCATCGACATGAACCAGCACCACCTGAACGCCCTGGGCGTGGGCCACGCCTCCCTGGACCAGCTCTGCCGCGTGACTGCGGCGCATGGACTGCACAGCAAGCTCACGGGGGCAGGCGGCGGTGGCTGCGGCATCACGCTCCTCAGGCCAGGTACCTGGGGGGGGGGGCAGGGCTCAGGCTTCACCTGGAGCATTCCCTTGGTGGGCAGGGGCCTAGGGATAGRTTTCAGCTCGGCTGTATGTCCTTGGGCAAATTAATCAACCTCTCTGGGCCTTTGTTTCCGGATGGTAAAGCATCAAGTTGCCCAGATTCGAAGAGAATCGTGCAGTTAGAGAGCTCGGCTGGGGCTGGCCCGGGTAGGGCTCCTCTCATGGTGGCTGCTCCTGCCTGTGGCCTGAGAAAGAGCGAGAATGGGGTCTCCACCTTGTCAGCCTCTCTCTGCCCCACCCCACTCTTGACTTGGCCATAAGACGAAGGGGTCTCCTCCTCCTCCTCCTTGGCCTCCGGGGAGGAAGGGCCCTAGGAAGGGCTGCAGGAGCCCTTGATGCCGGCTCCTGGTTCAGGGCTGGGGACAGTGACACTTGTGGAGCGTGCGTGGGGTCCYAGACGCGGGGCCAGGCACGTCATCTGCGGTTATTCCAGCTCAGCCTCCCAGGAGCTCTGGAGGTATCGAGGTGTCATTGTCCCCAATCCCAGGGAGGAAACGCCACCTGGCCAGTGTGTGGCAAGGCGGGCTCCGTGGGACGTGCGCCTTTTTAAACTTTTTGGTGTTTTTTTTGGGGGGGGACGGGGGGCGCTCTGCCACTGAGCTACATCCCCAGCCCTTTTTATTTATTTTTATTTTTTATATTTTTAAGTTTCATTTATTCATTTCAGTTGTGGATGAACCTTTATTTTTTATTTCTATGCAGTGCTGAGAATTGAACCCAGTGCCTCATGTTTTTGAGGCAAGTGCACTGCCACTGAGCCACGACCCCAGCCCCTGCCCCCCAGCCCCCAGCCGTCGGCCACCCCCCGGGCCCCAAACCCCCCAGCCCCCACCCCTCTTTATATTAAGCCAGGGTCTCACTAAGTTGTCGGGGCTGGCCTCTGTCTTGTGACCCGCCCCAGCCTCCCAGGTCACTGCGGTTGCCGGGTGGCCATCACAGCCCGCTCCATGACCCCCAGGAGGGTGCGTGGCTCCGAGTGCCAGCACAGGGGTGGCCTCTTGAGGCCCAGGCCTTTGGCCCAGGACGGCAGGGCAGGACCCTGTCCCCAGCCTTTTCCTCGAGGGGCATGATCGTCTTCTTTGGTGGCAGGCAGAGAACTGTCATGGTGACCTGCCTTCCCTCCCCCAGATCTGGAGCAGGACGAGGTGGAGGCCACAAAGCAGGCCCTGGCCGCCTGTGGGTTCGACTGCTGGGAGACCAGCATCGGTGCCCCTGGAGTCTCCGTCCACTCGGCCACCTCTCTGGAGGGACGTGTCCGGCAAGGCCTGGGCATCCTCTGAGAGGGGCCCCAACTCCACCGCTCTGCAGAGAAGCCCCCYGGGATTTCTGCTGGAGCCACAGTCAGCCTCTGGGCAGCCCCACAGCGTCCTCCAGCTCCTGACTTGACCGGAGGCTCCAGCCTCCACGAAGCCTCTGCTGGCCACCACCTGCCTCCCCTCCAGCCGCCAGGAGGGGCCAGGAGCGGCCGCTGAGGCCTCCTCCCGGGGTCCCACTCCCATGGATCCATCTGCCCGGGCCACACCTTCACCCTTGGACACCCCAGCGCTGGGCCAGAAGTGGGGCTGGGGTGTGGAGCCCGGCCCCAGGGGGCACCTCCTGTCTCCTCTGTCTCCCTCCGCCTCCTCCAGGAAGCCCTCCGGCCTGGTGGGCTGTCTGCACCTTCCAGGCATTGGAATGGGCCGCCTGTGCCCCCTGCCCTCGGGGACAGCTGGCTGGACTTGCCTGGGGCCAGCTGGTGGTGTCCACCTCCTGCCCCAGGCTAGGGCTAGCCGTGTGAGTGGTGTGCAGCGTCCCCCAGTCTGGGGGCCTCGGGCAGGAGATAGCTGCGGGGAGGTAACAGACTCCGACAGTTTCATGAGGCTCCGCAGACCCCTGGGCTTCCCAGCTGTGCTCAGTGGAGCGTCCCAGGAGGGAAGGAAGAGGGGCCTGGTCACCGGGCTGTGTCTCAGGGACGGTGGGTTTCCCAGGTGGCCCTTGCTGCACAGGGACGGGGTGTGTCCGCCGACACGGGACACTGTCCGCTACTGGGATACTATCCGCTGGCACAGCCCCAGCTGCTGTCTGGCAGGGAATGTCAAGTTCCTGGCCCCGGGTCACGAGCACCCAGCAGTGCAGTGTCGTGGGCCTCGGGCAGGGAGAACCGCAGCAGCCGCTGGGTCAGGCGCAGCTTCTGAGATCAGCCCCCGGGCAGAGTGGACGCACCCCAGCCGCCCTGGCTGGCCCCTCCCGGCCCTGGGTGAGCTCGGTCCCCAGGCAACGTGGCTGATCCACAGAAGGCCCTGGAGCACCAGGCATGGAGGTGCACACCTGTGACACCAGAGACTGGGGAGGCCCAGGCAGGGTCACAAGTTCAAGGGCAGCCTCAGCAACCGCGAGGCCCCAAGCAACTCAGGGGGACCTTGTCTCTAAATAAAAAAGGGCTGGGGCGAGCTCAGTGGTTCAGCGCCCTGGGTTCAGTCCCGGTACCGGTACCGACAGAGAGAACCTGCGTAGCAAGCTCATTGCTAACTGCTCCTCAGGAGCAGGCCCGTGGTGCTGGTTGCCCCAGGGGTGACGGGATGTGGTTCCAGGCTCAGTGCGCGTCTGCCCTTGGCCGCTAGGGGGCAGCTAGCGCCTTTCCCAGCTCCATCACAAGGAGGGTGGCTGGGAGCTGGGTTGGACCTGGCCCAAGGAGAGGCTGGGCACCACCCAGCACCAAGCCCTGCCCTGAGGGTCACTTCCAGGAATGTGGGAGCACTAGGGAGGCACCCAACCCAGCTTGACTTGTAAAGGTGGCCCCAGCATCATGGGACTCCCTGCCCCTGCACTTCAAAACAGATAATGTGTGGACAGTGCTAATTCTGAGCACTTCCCGTGGAGCAGGCAGTGTTCTAAGCACTGTACCTTCATCATTTCCTTTCTATCCAACTTCAGAGCAGAATCACTAGTGTCATCCCCATTTTATAGATTAGGAAACTGAAGCCCAGAGAGGTTGAGTAAGTTGTCCAAGGTCACACAGCTCATCAGCATCAGAGTCAGTCAGGCTGGCTCCAGAGCCTGCCCCATTTGGCCTGGCCCAGCTCTGCACACAGGTGTCCTGCCACACAGTTCCCATCATTTCCTGTTTTTTGATGTACTTGGTCAGGGTAGATGTGAGGCTTGGTGGTTTTTCTACCCACATGATGTGGATGAGCTGTTGGTGGTKAGCATGCTGATTGACAGCCGGTCTCCCAACGTCAGAGGCCAGGAAGATTTGGGGCCTCCCCAGGCATCCTCGCGCCCACGGCAGCTTAGAACTGGAGGTTGTGCAGCGCGGAGGCTCCCAGGGCCTGCCTCTTTGCCACCCTCCACAGACAGGACATCAGCCCTAGAGTAGGCTGGCCCCACCCACTTGCCCCAGTGAAGGGCCTGTAGGTAGGCCTTACCTCAGCCACCACCGGCCACCACATGAGCCCACTGCCGCCTTCCCCTGGCCACGTGGCTTTGATGTTACACTTGCAGACGATTTGACGGACGGCAGCCGTCACTGCCTCATTGCCTCCTGCAGAGTTCTCAGTCACCTGCACACTGAAGTCACTGGGGAGTGCCCAAAAGACACCCAGGAACCGCGGCCCACCCCTGGTTAGTCTCCTTTAGCAGGCCAGGTCGGGGACAATTGGCAGTGGAGCTGCTCCTGCCTCTGTGGCCTGTGTTTCCGCGGCCACCCCTGAGACTCAGGTTGCTGTGAACTCCCTGGCTCGGGCCTGGGTCTCTCGTTGGGAGACAGGGCTGCGGTGACCGTGCCCGATCTCTCCTAGAGAACGCTGCCCGCGAGCTGCCCACTGGGAGGCCGCCCCTGGTCAGTGGCCAGGCGGGGCCTGCCTTCAGGGTGGCCTGGCGCCCATTGGTCCCTCTGCCTTGCGGGGGCGTTTCCATTCTCGTTGGTGGGGGCCTTGGCTCCCTTCCCCAGCCCCCCTGCGTCCGGCTAGTTCTGGTCAGGGCTTTGGTGGTCTCTTGGCACCACTTGCCAGGAGGGGCCGAGGGACTAGGCTCTGGGTCACCGCTTCCGTAGTGGGCGCTCTTGTCTTTAGCTGGAATATCAGAAAGTCGTTCCCCGTTGGGAGACAGCGAGGACACTAGGAAGAAAACACAGATGAACAAAAGTAAGAACAGCAAGGCCCCGAGTCGTCACCCCGCCGAGGTCCCCAGAGCGCCCTCCTCCTTTCCSGTGACATGTGTGGTGCCGCTCAACACGCGAGACCCCGCTGTGAGGGCCCCTTGGCGACCGCTGTGGCTGTTCAGGATTGGCATCTGTGACAACAGTTCACCTCCAGTGTGCAGGTGTGGCCACCTTGCCCCGGTTAACCCTGAGTGTCCAGAACCCTGTGCAGAGCCACTGTCTGGCTGTCACAGCCCCGAGTTCTCTTTTAGTCCAACACGCAGCCCAACAAGCAGTCCTGCCCACGCCACGCCCACATCGTGCCCCGCCCACGCCACGCCCCTCRCATGCCACGCCCACRTCGCGCCACGCCCACGCCACGCCCCTCGCATGCCACGCCCACATCGTGCCCCGCCCACATCACGCCCCGCCCACGCCCTCCACACTCCGCCTTCCTGCCACGGCTTGCTCAAGACCGAGGCCACCATCCTGCAGGACGTCCTTCTGCCCTGGCCGTCAGAATCAGACCTTCTGGAGCTCCTGCAGAGCTGACGGCCAGCCTTTGCTGAGCACTTACGATGTGCCCAGCCTGGGCCGCTGGTTCCTGGGCCTCATCCCCGGGACTCCTCTCAGTCCACTGAGGCGGTTAGGATTCTGTGCCTGTTCTGCTGGTGCATCAACCGAGGCCCAGGGCAGTGACTTATCCAGGGTCACAAGGCCAGCACCTGGCAAAGCTGGACGTGAATGCAGATCTGAGTACTTCAGATCTGCTCTCAGCCTGGATTCTGGGCTGTTTCCTGGATTCTTGGCTGTTTCCGTGACCTCCCAAGTCCCCCTTGTCCAGTTGACATGATTGAATGGCCACATTGATCCCAGTGGCGATGGCCCAGCTCACCCACCCCCCCGCCCCCCAGGCCCTTGCTGCCTTGCACACCCTAGGCCCCCTGTGGCCCTGCCCACCCGACCACAGGCACGCGGACCCAACTGCCAAAGAGCATGACGGGGACTGTCATGCCAAAGAGCACCAGGGGACTGCCTGGAGCCACCGCCTCCCACCACCAAGGGACACCCGCACAGCACAGCATCTTCTCAGAACTGAAACAAAGGGCCCTCGCCCCACGTCACTGACTGGATGTGTCAGTTGCTGGTCATTAGAATCCAAAAACACTGGGGTCAGGAGGACCCCTGGGCTGCACGTCCTCTTTCTTACCTTTGGTTCTGTCATAGCTGGGGTGTCACASGAAGAGCATCCAAAGGCCAGCGACCCGTCCGTCTCAGGGCCTGGCTCGGCACCTGGTGGCTGCGTGTCTCAGAGCAGGGATTTCTGCCCTGCCTCTGTGCCCTGGGTCTCAGCTTCCTGGAATGCCGCATCCCAGGCAGGTGTCCTCAGACTCCATCCCATGACAATCCCACGGCACAGGCACCGCAGGACCTCGATGCCCGGTCCGAGGCCCCAGGCCAGGTGCAGGTTGGACTGACGATGCTGCAGGCTTAATGTTGGCGCCCGCGCGTCTCCTCCCAGTGGCATCTTRGGTAGCAGCAGCCACCCGACTGTTCCTCAGATGGAACGAACGGACCCACCAAGTGGGCAAAGTCCCCAAGTCCTGTGTCAGCCCAGCTGCATCTGCTGAGACGGGAGCTCCAACCTGCTGGGTTTCCACGCGTCTTGGATGGTGGGCCTGACTCTCTCCCGCTCTGTGGAGAAGCAGACGGACAGACACCCCCTCAGACGGTTCCAGGTACTTGCCTGGTTTTGAACCCCCTAGGTCCAGCTGCCCACAGCAGGGTCTGACCAGAGCTGGCCTCTGTCACTCTGTGACCTTGGGGACAGAGGCTCCCCTGGAGCCCGGCGGCTGCCTTCTGTTGCCAAGGAGGCCACATCTGCTCCACGCCCTTTTGACTTTCCCACCATCTGCCTCCGAGGCAAGTCCACTATTTGGGAAGGGACGTCATCCATCAGGACTGTCCCTCAAGAGCCACCATGTCCCAAGCTCTGTGGGTGGGAAGCCGAGGCACAGAGCCAGGTTTGCAGCAGAGCTGGGGCCTCAAGCCACGCGTCCCCGACACCTGGGGTGCTGGGCCAAGCTTGGGGAAGGGCAGGGGCTCCTAATATGTCCCCACTGGCCCAGGAGAGGCCCGTGCCTACACTGTGACCTCAGGGAGCTCTGGGCAGAGCCGGCCCCAGGAGGGTGGAAGGCAGGAGTCCCCGGGCTCTGCTGGGAAGTGGCAGGGGCGGGATGGAGGGGCCAGAATCRGGACCCGGCTTCTCTCCATACTTCTCCCTCGTGGTGCAGGAGAGCCGGCAGGCCCCTGTGATGCTGTGTGGCACGGGGCGGTGGCTTCCCRTCTCTGGATCTCCTGTCCTTGCCGTTTCTGAGGCTGTCATTTCCTGCTCTGGGGCTATGACCTGGTCTTGTTTCCCAGGGCCACCGCCACCACTGCGAGGAACTCTACCTGTTCTGGGGTCTGGAGCCAGCAGGTGACCTAGARAAGTCAGGCTGGGGAAGGTGCCCAGGTGGCCCATGGCTCCTGCCACTGTCGCCCCTGGGGGAGGGGGGACCCGCCACCACGTCCTGCTGTCTAGCTGTGGGTTCTGTGGTGCAGGACAGAACCCCAGGCCTCCACAGGCTGGGCAAGCACTCTCCCCCTGAGCCACCCCCAGCCCCATATGTAGTTTTAAAACAGGATTCCGAAATCTGAATGTTTTAGGTCAATTTAGTTTTTATTTACATATTTATAGGTTTTTGCCRTCCTGGGGGATGGAACCTAGGGCCACTCTACCACAGAGCCACATCCCAGCCCCCCCCCCCTTTTTTTTAACTTTGAAACGGATTCTTGCTGAATCACGGAGGCCGACCTCGAACTTGCGATCCTCCTGCCTGGGCCTCCCGAGTTGCTGGGATTCCAGGTGTGCGCCACGGCCCAGGGCTAAGGTTCAGTTTTTAGGTGATGCCGAGCCGTAAAGGAAAGCCGATTAAGAAAACCGGGTGTGGTGGCACCTGTGCCTGAAATGGCAGCGCCTGGGGAGGCTGACGCAGGAGGACTGCAAGTTCGAGGCCCGTCTGGGCCACGGAGGGAGACGCTGTCTACAATCAGGCAACGAGAAAGAGCGGGGCTGGGGCTGGGGCTCAGAGGCAGAGTCCCCGGGTTCAGCCCCCAGGTYGGCCGCGCTGCAGACTGAAAAGGGCCTGGGGTCGAGACTTCCTCGGAGACCCCCGGGGTCTGGGGGGACCTGACCCCTCC